GCAGTACACAACTATGACAGAAAATTTGAAAAATACATGTTTACATTGCACATGCACACATACATATACAAGAGACCAAAGACTGGAAGCACATTCAGCAAGGCATCTGTAAGCATAATAAATTACAAATCACAAAGATACAGTAGTATAATTGTTGTAGGATAAACATTCTCAAAGGAAAATAAAAGGCAGCCCTTGGCTCAAGTAGGAATGAAATCCAGCAGGGCCATCACTGATTGCTGAAGCTCCTCTGGCATCTGAGGTGCACTGGTGAGATGTGGACCCCAAAGGCTTGGGCCTCCTCAACTCTGGCTGTTCTCCCAAGCTGGTTTGCACAGGGCCAGAAGCTTTCAGACCAGCATTGGATGTTGATGGTATATTTACTGACCTAGGTCTCCCTCTTGGCTTTGTTTTACCCCTTAACTCCAGTATATATCATTTCACTGAGTGAGCCAAGGCAGAGAAATCTGAGTCTTACCTCAAATTAACCAGAAACAAACTTGGACATAATTATACATACTTAACAGATACCATGTGATTCCTTAATTCATGTACACATTTTGTAATGATTGTGAGAAAAATGTCTTTTCTATCAAAGTAGTTTGCTTCCTTTTTGTTACTCTTTTGAGAAGTTCTTGCTTTGGCCATGTGGCTTGGACCTTGTTGATTACCTACTTTTCCTACTGCACTCTAATTAAGATATTCTGTTAGAAGCTTTTTGAACTTCAGTTACATTCTGTTACACCACATCCTACTACAGACTGTGAACCTGAGCTCAGCCAATCTGAGCAGAGGGGCGGGGCCTACTGGGTTAGGGCTCCAAAGGGAGCAGCCTGCCTGCTTTGCTTTGCTTACCAGATTTTGGGCTCATGGCGCACCTCTTTTTTTTCTTTTTCTTTTTGGTCGGTCGTGGGGCCTGAACTCTGGGCCTGGGCGCTGTCCCTCAGCTCTTCAGCTCAAGGCTAGTGCTCTACTACTTGAGCCACAGTGCCACTTCTGTCTTTTTTTTTTGCTTATGTGGTGCTGCGGAATTGAACCCATGCATCCAAGACAAGCACTCTACCACTGAGCCACCTTCCCAGCCCTTGATGGTGCACCCTTCTGCAGAGGTAAACTTTGCCTTGCTGAGTTCCTTTTGAGTCGTTGTCCTTATTCCTAGGAGCCATTTCTAACACTATGAAGTTGGTATTGGTATTTATCATATTCCATGCCTTAAAATTTTATTGTTTAGACTGAGTACATCTAAAATCCCGTCATCACATTATTGTTAATCCATGGATATAATAGGATATCAGAGCTTTTACTTTTTCTAGAGTGTAATACTCTATGCAATGACCAACATCCTACCACTCTCAACTTACATAAGATCAATTTTTTAGATTATATATATGGATGAAATCATATGGTATATGTGTTCTGATGCCTGGCTTATTTCACTTACCATATTGTTCTCCATGTCTACCCATAAATCTTACGACACACAAATGATAGGATCTCATTCTTTAGGACTGAAGAGTATTTCATGATATAAATGGATATATATGCCACCTATACACCATTAATATATTCAATGTTTCCAAATTTCTTCATATATACACATATTAAGAATATATTCTTCACATATGTGCAGTCATTAAAATATATGTATTATTCAAAATATATACTACTATTTCTTCATCCATTGAGGGAAACTTAGGTTTATTCCCTATCATTACAACTGTGTGTATGCATTCTTGAGTTTTTTTTAAAGATTATTCTTTATCCCACACACAAAGTGCTGCTTTTATTGGCATTTGCCTTGGGAGTTCTATACAGTGCAACAAAAGTGTTAGCTAAGCCTATAGTCCTGGTTGAATTCACTTGGAAAATACAGCACATTGATTCCCAAATTTCTAGAGGAAGAGGAAGGCAGCATGTAGTGATGGAGCTGGATGGATGACAAAACAATGTCCCAAGGCTCTATCACCTCTTCCAGGGGAAGATGTGACAACAGCAATGTGCTCAGTGCACTGAAACATCCGGACATCCAAACCTCCCAAGACATCCACCAGACACCTCAGTGACCTTCCTGCCGCAGGTGAGCTTGGGCCCATGGACACTATTCCATGCCTCTCCTTTCTGTCACAGCTTCTCTATCCTGGAGATCCACACACTCACACAAACATGGTTTTCTACATCCTAGTGTCTCCTCTGATTTTAGTTTTAGTGTTCACTATGGAGGTCTTTTACTCCTAGATATTTATTTTTGTGAGTATTGTAAATGGAATTGTTTTACTGATTTCTTTTGCAGCCTGTTTGTAATTAGTATACAGAAAAGCTATCTGCTGATTTTGTATCTTGGTACTTTGTAGAAAGTATTTATCAGAACTAAGAGTGTTTTGGTAGAATTTTTAGAGTCTTTTGAATATAGCACTATATCCCTTAGAAATAGAACAATTTGACTTCTTCCTTTCCTGCTTGTGTTCCTTTGTTTTTTGTTTCATGTTTTTTGCCTTATTCTTGTTAAGAATTCAAGCACCATATTGAGTAGAGTGGAGAAAATGGACATTATTAATCCTCACTGAGAAGGAAGTGCTTTCATTTTACCTCATTATTCAGTATGGTGTTGACTATACGTTTATCATATATAGCTTTTATTATGAGTTACAATCTTCCTATCCATAGTTACTTCTGGGAATTTATCATGAAGATAGGCTCTGAAATTCTCTGGACTTGTGATGAATAGCCCAGGGGGAAAAGGTAGAGAAATTAGAGAAATGGTAGCGGAATAAGGCAGCATGGGAAGAGAGTGAACTTTTGAGCCCATCATTGTGTCCCATCACTTTTGTGGGTGGAGCGTGAGTGTTTTAGATAGCAACTCTCAATTCAATGTGGGATTCAGAAGAGGTCCTTCTGCAGAATCAAATGGTTAAACCTTGACTTTGAGGTCCCTGTATCTATACCTACATTTGTCAGTAGCCAGCAGCAAATAGAGTGCTTTCTGATCACGATAGCGATATCACTGGTGAAGTATGTAAGGAAAGCCCCCCCCCAGACTAATCCTCGCCCTCGATGGCAGCGCCTGTGTAGTAGGTGAGGCACCTACCACTTCCGGCCCCCCACGATATAAAAGGGTCCTCTGAGGAGCAGGTCGGGGCCATCTCCGGAGAGCTTGACTTGTTCTGCTACAATAAATCTTGTCTCCCTTGACTTTTTGGTGTATCTTAACTTTTGGTTGTCTTTGGGGCACCTTCTTACTTTCAAAATAAGTTAAAGAGCCAGTAATTGCTCCCTGTTTTGGGAAAGCTGGCTTAGCATGGCTTTGTTTTATGCTGTGCTGATATGATAGGTACTTAGAAACAGTTTTGCTAAAAGCACTGACCCCTCACTTGGCCCCACAAGTTAACTAAAAGCTGGACAAGAAGTAAGCATTCAGCCATGTCAGTCTCATTTGTCTTAAACCTTTGGGTAGACAAGACTTAACTCTCACATACACATGTTAATCGCTTAAGGAGTGTCTGTCTCAGAACTGATGATAACTCATGTATGATCTACCCCTCTGAGGCTGAAATTAAAGTGAGAAGAGGAACCGAAACATTTTTACTTTTACCTTTTAATTTTTAACAACTCCTATCAAAACTTGCCAAAGGGCTCCTGGACATCTCATTATTCTAAACCTTTAAATACTCTGCAATCTAGGAATAGCACAGCTTTCCATTAAGTTATACTGAAAACCACGCAGACACACAGGCATGTACAGAGAAAGGTTGTACTTCTGTCACCAGAGGGAGAGAAAAAGCACTTGTCTTTATCTAAGGAGGTTTTTATAATCTAGAGGGGCTAGGGTGGGATTTCCTGCAGGATGTGGGAGCAGAGGATTCCATTCTGGTGGGCTAAGATTTACGCAGCCCGTCAGAATAGTAGATAAGGGGCCTGCTGTTACCACTGACGGCTGTGACTGACCGAACGGAGTGAGGTGAGAGGTGGGAGCTGGTTAGCAGCTGCCCGCCCCAGAAAGGCCTTTTGTTGTCCAATCTGGGGGAAGAAGCTAACCCATACCACGATGAGGTTTACTCTTCCCAGACGGGAACAATTGTCTTATGGTAACTGAATTGTTCTCTCAGGCATTAAACACTTCTTCAGGCCACCTTGCAAAACCCAGAATTGAGGTAATAATCCGGAAACCATTGACAAAGGCTGTTATGCAAACCTCTCACCTCCTGTCCAATTCTTCCTGTTTTTATAAACCTAAATCTCACACATTGCCCCACAGATGGGCTAGATGCCTACTTTCTCTCTACTGTGTTGCCTTATTCACTAAATCTCATCTCCCTCGTCTTACGAATTGTGTCCTTAACTGACATATTGGCACGGTGTGTGTGATCAGATTATTATGAAGGTGGGAAGGGGGGGGGAGAGGAGAAAAATTCCTGTGACTGAAGCGTTTGCCCTAAATTCTGATGAGCATGAGTGCTATTTGTGAATGGGAGGAGATAGTTTAAACAATTAGAGACGTTCTGGACCAAATCGCAGCCAGCACTCGGAAGGCTGAGCGGCAGGGGACGTGACTCAAAGCGGGCACCCACAGTTGTGTCTCGGAACCGAGTCGAGCACCCAAGGGCGAGCTCCATGTCCCCAGGCAGGGACATCAAGGGCAGCAGCCCGACTTCCCAGGAGGAAAGCTGTCATGGTACTCACCAGAGGACTGAAAAACAGTGTCCATTTATTAAGTTAGGCGGCTTGGAGAAGCACAAAAGCGGGTCTCAGCACCAGCCCCGCAAGCGTTAGGATTTATCCAGAAAGCCTAGACGTACTCACGCTACTGAGCATGCGCAAGCCCCAATCCGCTTCCCAGAGGGGCGTCGTACGCTACTGAGCATGCGCAAACCCAGGTCCTCGTTCCCAGAGGGGCTTCGTTTACCTCCTGCAGATGCCGCGCCCGTCGGAAACGCTTCTGGGCGCGCTTCGAAATGCGTCATAAGTTGGCGCCACCGGGAAGGGCCGTCTCCGGGCGTCTATATAGACAGCGGCTGGCGTTCTTCCTGATACCTAACTGCTTAGCTGCATCCCGGGAGCGGGGCCGTTGGCGGTGCTTCCGTCGCGGCGTTCAGGCTCTGGGGCGCCGGTCCAGCCGGCGAGGCGCGACCCGGCGCGGAAAGTCGGGCGCCGGAGGCGTCGGGAATGGGGGCGGCGGGCCTCCCCGCGCGGCGGCGGGCCCTCCCGGGGCTGCTGCTCGGCCTGCTGTGTGCCCTGGCCCGGGCCGAAGGCGGGAAGGTGCTGGTGGTGCCCATGGAGGGCAGCCACTGGCTGAGCCTGCGGGACGTGGTGCGGGAGCTGCACGCCCGGGGCCACCAGGCCGTGGTGCTGGTCCCCGAGGTGTTTGAGTACGTGAGGGAAGAGGCCTTCTTCACCTTCTTGCCCTATGCCATTCCCTTCACGAAGCAAGAGTATAAGGACTGCTACCTGAACCACCTCAACGTCGCCTTCGAAGCAGAAAGTTTTCTGGACGTGGCTTACAAAAGTGTATCAAGAATAAAAAAGTTACCGGGTTTGTTTGCGAGGTCCTGTGAGGCGCTACTACATAACACACCCCTCCTCGAGCATCTGAATTCCAGTTCCTTCGATGTGGTTTTGACGGACCCTGGTTATGCCTGCGGAGTAGTGCTGGCTAAGTACCTGAATGTTCCTGCTGTGTTTTTTCTGCGCTACATGTTGTGCGAGGCGTTCTATTACGCTACCCAGTGTCCCAACCCACCTTCATACATTCCTAAATTGGCAACGATGAACTCAGACCACATGACCTTCCTCGAGAGGGTCAAGAACATACTCGCCTTTGTGGTCTTGGAAGGTTTTTGCTCTGTACTTTTTTCTCCTTATGCACGGCTCGCTTCTGAGCTCTTGCAGAGAGAGGTGTCGGTGGTGGATATCTTCAGCCACGCTTCCCTGTGGATGATCAGAGGGGACTTTGTATTGGACTACCCCAGACCCATCATGCCCAACATGGTCTTCGTCGGGGGCATCAACTGTGTCAACCGGAAGCCACTCTCTCAGGTCTGTATTTATTTATTTGCAGGTCCTGGGGCTTGAACTCAGGGTGTCGGCACTGTCCCTGAACCCTAGACTTGTACTCAAGGCTAGCGCTCTACCACTTAAGCCACAGCACCACTCCTGGCTTTTTCTGAGTAGTTTTATTGCTTATAAGAGTCTCACGGACTTTCCTGCTCTGGCTGCCATTGAACCCCCACCCTCAGATTTCAGTCTCCTGAGTAACTAACTAGGATTCAGGCATGAGCCACTGGCACCCGACATATATTGATGTTTTTATCTCGCCAAAGCATCAGGCAGAATTTTGAATTCTTTCAAGTTCTTACCTTTCCTAAGAGTTCTACCTCTCCACCTAATAGTCTTTGATAAGTTAAACACTGCACGTTTTCATTGAAGGTATACAACACCAAAGGTTATATATATATACTCATTGTTTGCAATGAGTCTGAAATAGGACTGAGGAGCAGTGCCACTGGTCATCTTCCCAGGAGGAAGCAGAGGAACTGAACTGGCCTGTCCCAGAAATACTGCTTTCAGATTTTAAGTACAAAGAGTGGAAACTAGCAAATTACATTCATTTTAATGGTGCTATCTGGGAGGGGAGAGATGCACTCACAAGACCTAAGAACGGAAGTCTAATGTGTAGTTAGATGTCTCAGTGTGGACTAGCCACTTTTCAAGTGCTCAGTAGTTATGTGTCCCTATGGCAATGATCAGTGTTGGTAATTATTCCATGGTACTTCCAAGTTATGTATTTTTAACTTTTTCTATTTAGGCAAACAAAGCAAAAAATAAAGAATTCTACTTAGAGAAAACCACTTCATGAAAGTGTACTTTTTAGGGGGAATAAAGGCAGAATAGCTTATGTATTTCATCATGAGTCCATGTACTGCTTCCCAGTCTAATCACACTTGACCTTTGGCAACTGATATTAAAGTGGTTTAATGGAAACTGGAGGAAGTTGAAGTGAATCTGTATTCTCTGAAAAAAAAACTAGTGAGAAAGTGAATTATAAATTTCTAGAATGATAAGCAGATTCAAGTGATTTCCTAAGAGAAAGAAGGTGTTAACTCTGCCATTTTGGAGTCAAGACAGGTAGAATCAAATGGATAGATTGTTTAGTGGTTATTAGAAAACACCATTGTTTCTTCTGTTTCTGTTGTGTGAGGGTAGCTGAACCAATTGATAACATTGAGGAAGACTGATTTCCAGCTGTGTGTAGAGCTCCTGTCAGAAGTGGTTGGTTGACTGTTTGGTTTCTGCCCAGGTGGCCTAGAGTCAGTGACTCTCCTTGCCTAGTGTACTCTAGGGAATGGCGGTAGTGAGTTCCGTGGAGTGGATCCACTACAGTGGAGTCCAGATATTTGTCTCTGCACTGGAAGAAATGCCCGTCATTTTCCATTCTGAAAGTCTACTAAAACCTTTCACAACAAATGAGTGGCCATATGTAGTCCTGTAGTGTGAAAGATAATTTCAAGTTTGAAAATTGAGTCTGATGCTTTATTCTTCGGTGAAAGACCAACTGCCCATTAATGGTAGCACCAGTACAAGACAGAGCAAAACAGATTTTTGTGTTTGTTGTTAAAACTAGGGAGATAGCTAGAAATCCTTGACCTCCCGGGGTTGCCAAGCTCTTCACCATTGATCTTTTTGCTGACCATTTTTTTTGTGTGTGTTGGTTCTTGGGACTTGAACTCAGGGATTGAGTGATGTCCCTGAGCTTTTTTTACTCAAGGTTAGTGCTCTACTACTTGAGCCATAGCTCCACTTTTAGCTTTTTTCTTTTGTGGTTAATTGGAGAGAAGACTCTCAAGGACTTTCCTGTCTGGGATGGGTTTGAATAGTGATCCTCAGATCTCGGCCTCCTGTATGACTAGTATTACAGGCTTAAGCTACTGGTGACTGGCCTTCCTGACATCGTTTGGCCCACTGTGTAGAAACACACACACTCAATTCTATCCTGTCTAGATTGGCTATCTCCACTATATACAACCATGGATCTGGGCCTGCTCCTTCTCATCCCCTAACTCCTCACATCCCTCACTACTTCAGAGCGAAACTCACCACACCAAACCACTCAGTGAATATCTTCACTGGTGAGAGTTCCCTGCCTGTGACGAAATGTGTTTCCAATTCCTTGGTAGCTGGTATTATTTTGGCATTTCTGTCCATATGTCACATACAAAGCAGCTACCAATGTATGTCTGTGAAACTACTTTGATGTGGTTTAAACAGATGCTATGAACACCTCTTAGACAGTGCACGACTCATGTTTCTGCCATATATCAGCACTTCATTCAGGGTGGAATTCACTCCTTGAAGTCCAGAGACAGTCTTATAACTTAGGACAATGTAATTAGGCCCCATAACCTCTCAACAGAGAGTTAACAACTTGTTGCATTCTTTGCCTAGTTTAGTTCCCCTTTTGTTCTCTTTCTTCTGCAATCTGGAGACTTGACCATAGGAAGGAGACACTTTGTGGTAGACTCTCACAAATCAATCGTTCCCCAAATGGCCTGCAGGTAGGGAATAAGCTGGGTGAACAGAATCAACTTCCTCAAATGTGTATATGGGTCCTCACCCAATCAGCATTTGGTCAAGAGGCCATGATATATGTCTACTGCATGGTAATGGCGGAGTTGGTGCAGCTTTGAGGAAAGCTTTATCAAAGTGTCCCATAGATAATCAGGGTAGGGCTGAGTGCCATCCTAACATGGCTCCAACAAAGCACATGACATTAATTGTCTTGACTGTTTTACTATCAACCTTCCAGAGGACAATGTGCTAGTAAAACTACATCAGCCCAGTGAAATATATTTGTCTTTTTGTCAGAAATTAAAAAGGAAAATGCATGAATTTAAATGTTTTATGATCATTTGTTACATTAACCTATAGGTACTTAGAGATAGGCTTAATGTTTTACTTCAACATTGGTCCACTCTTCCTACATACCAGTATTTGTGTACAACTGAAAGACAACTTCAATTGATTTTAACCAAGAAGTCTAACTATATTCACTTCTTTCACTATAATTTAGTAAAAAAAAAAAAATCAAAACAAAGCTAAATGATTCATGGAAAGCTCCCTGGCTCACATTTCCAACCAAAGGATGCACAGAAGGCTCAGCATGGTGGTGACTATCTTCCCTAGCAGCCTCCAACAGAGAATTAGGTGCAACAGGCAGAGGCCTGGCGCAAGTGGTAGAGCCCTTGCCTAGTATTACTTGTAAGAGAAAGCAAAGTGCAGCATCCATCCATCCCAGTTTAAGACCAAGAGAGAGCCTATTGGTGTGTTCCCAACAATCACTACAAATAAGCTTTAGCAAGAACTTTTAATAAATTTTGAGTTACAGTTGTTGTGAAAGTAGAGCTCACTTCCAATCTTTGAAAAAGTGTCCTGTTATTCCTCAACATGTACTTTAAGTCCAAGGGAATGACTAGGTGTTGATGCGTAGCAGCTGCTCCTGGCCATTTATGATGAGGGACTTGAGCTGTCCATCCTCCTCCACTTCCACCCTCTCCTGGCCGTTCTCCACGATCCTCTTGGTGGTGATCTTCTTGCCATTGACGATTTCTGTGGAAGTGGACACGGACTTGAAGTTGCCTGCCCCGCCACCGCCACAGGACATGGAGAAGGAAGAAAGGCCGTCGGCCAGGGGCCCGAAGGATGTGAACCCCGTGTCGAAGGAAGAAAAGCCACCGCCAAAAGCGGGGAACTGGGAGAAGGTGGAGAAGAGAGGCGCGGACGCCCTGCTTCTGCTCCTGCTTCCTCGCGGGATCCTGTGGCCCCCGAAAATGTTCTCCAGCGGGGCTCCGAAGAAGTCGAAGGAAAAGGGGTCCTGTCCGCCGAAGAACTCCCTGAAGACGTCGGCGGGGTCGCGGAAGCTGAAGACGCACTCGAAGGGGTCGTGGCAGGGGCGGCCCGCGGCGCCCGCGCTGTCCTCGCCCGCCTCGCCATAGCGGTCGTAGACGCCGCGTTTCCTGGCGTCCGACAGCACCTCGTAGGCCTGGGCCACCTGCTTGAATCTCTTTTCTGCCTCCTCCTTGTTCTCGGGGTTCTTGTCGGGGTGCCACTTGAGCGCCAGCTTGCGGTAGGCCTTCTTGATGGCGTCGGTGGAGGCCTGCCGGGGCACGCCCAGGACTTCGTAGTAGTCCACCATGTTGGGGTTAGAGGAGGGCGGGCAGGGCGCGGCCCTGGGGCCAGGGCAGGGTAAAGGCAGCTTCTGGTGGAGGCTGCTGGCCGAGGCGTGGCGTCGCTCTTGTGACGTGGCCGCATCTGATTGGCTGATGCTGTCTGGGCCTCTTATCCCAGAATGCAGTGCTCCATGGGAGAGAGTGGAGGGTTTGCCTTGTTACCGAGTAATCTTGCCGCCTAGGCCTAGAAGCCAAGCTAGACCCTGCCCCTGTGCACAGTGGCAAGTCACGATTAGAGGTGTAGTTTCTCGCAGGTTCATAAAAAGTAAAGGAAAGCTGAGGATGAATCTGGTGCCTTAGGGAATGTTTTTCCTAGGTCTACTGCTGATGGCTCACTCCATAATTTTAGCTACTTAGGAGCTTGAAATCTGATGATCCAGGTTTGAAGTCAACCAGCGAGACCCCCTCTTCAGTGAACAAGAAAAAATGATGGTCTGCAGGTGTGGCTCAAGTGGCAGAGCCTCAGCCAAGAGCCAGAAAAGCCTAGCTGAGTGAGAGACTGAAGCCTTGACTTCAAGCCTTGACGCCTTGGGTACTGACAGGATACAGACACGTAGACACAATCCTAAAATGACAGGAATTTGTTTTGTCTGACCTTGGGCCGAACAGTACACCCATTTCCTGTGTAGTTCTCAAACATTTTAGCTTTAGGAAGTATTTGCTTGTGGTGTAGGAGAATCACACATTTTTAGTTAACATTCCTTCTCAAGGAGTGACCTTGGGATAAAGTGTCAGGGCAGTTCTGCCAAGTAGGGCAGAATTTAATCTTTATTGAATCCATAAAAGCAATTCAGAAGCCACGTGCTGGTGGCTTACCCCTGTAATTCTAGCTACTCAGGAGGCTGAGACCTGGTGATCGCGGTTCAAAGCCAGCCCAGGCAGGAAAGTCTGTGAGACTCTTATCTCCAATAAACCATTAGAATACCGGAAGTGGTACTGTGGCTCAAGTGGTAGAGAGCTTGCCTTGAGCTGAAGAGTTGAGGGACAGTGCCCAGGCCCAGAGTTCTAGCCCCACGACTGACCAAAAAAAAAAAAAAAAAAGCAATTCAGAGAGAGGCGTTGGGCACCATTCAGCATTGCTGCTTATCTATGTGCCCTCTGCACATGAAAGTGTGCAAGAGAGTGAAACTTTGGTTAAACCCTGCTGCTATTCACCTTTGGACCGGTAGATTTGATTTAGTCTTAATCACATCCTGTCAGGTACTGAGATGGCCTGGGAGGGTGTAAAGGGAAATTAGCCCAGTTCCTTTCCAGAAGAGATTAAATGTAGTTTAAAGGAACAAAGGTCTTGAGGCTTTAGGTCAGCCACGTGCCTCAGGAAATTGAGAGATGAAAGGACAGTCAAATGAGCTGCCTTAGTAGAGGATATGATGGGGGATGGAGAAAAGGGAAGTTGTGAGATTTGGGGGAGAAAGAGCTGGAAAACAAAACCATCTTCAATATGTTCCTGTCATAGACAAAAGATATAATGTATGGTGTAGAGCAGAGGAGAGATCCTTCATCCTCATCCTTTAGACTGGCCTAGTGGACATGACCAAGGTGTAGCTACTGTGATGAGCTAGAAGGCTGAGGGCCAAGGCCTTGGGCTGGGAGTTGGTCACACCTTTGAGAAGGCTATTGAGTGGCTGAGATTTCCTAGGCCTTTTCAGGCTGGGTTCTTCAGACCTCAGTTCATCAATGGTGAACCCAGTCAGAAATACCTGTATCTCGCAAATAGGGAGACCAAGGTTCTAGTTAGCCCATCTGTATCTCCCGTATAGGGAGAGCGAGGTTCTGATTAGCCCAGGACTACTCAGGTTTTAGTGTTAAAAGTGCCCAGTCTGGGGCTGGGAAGGTGGCTCAATGGTAGAGTGCTTGCCTTGTATGCATGAGGCCCTGGGTTCGATTCCTCAGCACCACATAAGCTGAAAAAGCCAGAAGTGGTGCTGTGGCTCAAGTGGTAGAGCACTAGCCTTGAGCTGAAGAGCTGAGGGACAGCGCCCAGGCCCAGAGTTCAGGCCTTACGACTGTCAAAAAAAAAAAAAATGTCCAGTCCTGGGTACTTTCAGCTGTGATCAGCCTGCCATATCACACCACCTTGTTAGTGTCCCCAATGTTCTGGGACACATATGAAACCATTTAGGAGACTATGGGGTTAAGTTAGCTCCCTAGTAATTGCTGCTGGGGAGACTTGCTGCACATAATGTCCTTTTACATGGATCTGTGACTGTGTGTGCAAGCATGATGTGTGCATCTGTGGATGCATGTTTATGCACACATACACACATATTCCTCTGATTTTCTTTTGTCAGGTTTGGTCATTGCCTGGATTATGTTTCTCAACAATTCCAAAGATAAGCCTGTATAAATCACTTCTCCTTTGTAAAGGATTAGGGTAGAAGGGAAGCTACAAAACTACATTTCAGTAATTGTTATCTTTATCTCATACAATTCTTTAACGGCTTAACAGAATGTATTTAACTCAGTGCTTAAATTATGTAATCACTAAAGAATATGAGAAAAAGTGAATTGGAAACCTCTCTTTTGTCTGTAGGAATTTGAAGCCTATGTCAATGCCTCTGGAGAGCATGGGATTGTGGTTTTCTCTTTGGGATCATTAGTCTCAGAGATTCCGGAGAAGAAAGCTATGGCAATTGCTGAGGCTCTGGGCCAAATACCTCAGACGGTAAGACAATTCTCTGTCACTCCTTTATATCTCACTACAAAGGAATTCAAAGTCTAAAAACCTGGCTCTAAATGAAATTGATCTTCAGGAATTAGGATTTAGGTATCCTTCAGAAGTTATTTTCTTTTTACATATAACTCAACTTTTAAACCATGGTCTTTTAGGAGAATTAAAGTGTTAACTTTCAGCTAAAAATCAACATGATGTTGGTTCATGTTAAATAGGAATATGTCTCCAAAAGGTTACTCATTAAATCTGTTCATGGTAGAGAATGCCTGTAATCCCAGCCTCAAGAATGTCAGATATGGAAGAATCAGGGTTCCATATCAACCCCTCCATATTTGCAGGATAATGAGACCCCAGGAATGGTGGGGCACATCTGTGGTTCTTAATGCCTGCTGGGCAAAAAGTGCAAGATTTCAAAAATAAGGATATGGTATGTGCCTGAAGTGATTGAGTATTTGCATAGCAAGCACAAAGCCCTGAGTTCAAACCCCAGTGTTAAGCCAGAAGTCAGAAGCTTGCACCCATAATCCTACCTGCTCTGGGGGCTGATACCTGGGATATCATAGTTCGAAGCCAGCTAACTCAGAAAAATCTACAAGACTACTTCTTCAATTATCTAGCAGAGAGCTGGGCTGAAGTCATGACTCAAGTGGTAGAGTACCAGCCTTGAACAAGCAAGCCAAATGGGAGTGTGAAGCCCAGAACCTGAGTTCAAACCCTCATACCAGTGTATCATTACTCAGTACTACTGAGAATAAAAGGCTCTTGGTTAGAACGCTGAATTTATTTTGTGTACTTTTGCTTAGAGTGCTGTATCAACTTACTTTTTTAAGTAAACTCTTGCTTCAAGTGCAGAAAAGTAAAAACACTCTTTTAAGTGCATAGTATTCACATAACAAGCATACTCCTAAGCACCACGCCTCTGAATGAAATGTCAGTCCCAGAAGCCTTCTGAGCCACCAAACCTCCGAACTGTGCAGAGGTTGTAGTCAATCTGTTTACCTAGTGGGACTCACCTTTCTAGCTACTATAGCATATGTTAAAGATCATGGATTTTTTTTTTTTTTTTTTTTTAAACCCTCTTCTTTTTGACCCTGCAAGGTCCTGTGGAGTTATGCTGGAAGCCGGCCATCAAATCTTGCCAAGAATACAATACTTGTCAAGTGGTTACCCCAAAATGATCTGCTGGGTATGTTGGGAAGATTTGATGTGTAGGTCAAACCCAGATTAAATTAAGAAAATGGCTAGGCATGGGTATTAAAAAGAAGAGTGTTTCCAGCACAGCCATAATCCTAGCTACAGGGTTCTGATGTGGTTCAAAACCAGCTCAGGCAGGAAAGTCTGTGAGAGTCTCCAGATCTTATCTCTTAATCGCCAAAAAGCCGGAAGTGGAGAGTGTTAGCCTTAGTTTAGGACAGTGCCCAGGCCCTGAATTCAAGCTCTAGGTTCAGCACCAAAAAAAAAAAAAAGGTTGTTTAGCTTGAACATACTGTGGCCAGTATATCCCACATTACTTTTTATCTAGGGGGTGTGTCACTGCATGTTTATTTTTTGTTTTTTCTGGTATTCATCAAGAGCATTTGGGAGCATCAACAAATTCTCAGGATACTTTCAGAATCTAGACAATGTCAAACTAGGAAACTCAACTAGACTATCAGTAATGCTCCTTGTTTGCTTCTCAGGTCATCCAAAGACCCGGGCATTTGTCACTCACTGTGGCTCCCATGGCATTTATGAAGCTATATGCAATGGCGTCCCCATGGTGATGATGCCCTTGATGGGTGACCAGCTGGACAATGCAAAGCGCATGGAGACCCGGGGGGCTGGCGTGATCCTGGATGTCTTTACAATGACTTCTGATGATTTAGCAAATGCCCTCAAAAGAGTCATCAAGGACAAAAGGTAAGAGAGAGGGTAAAGAGGTAGGTTTTGAGCCATGGCCTGCCTAGCAAATGCAAGGCCCTGAGTTTAAATCCCAGTGTTGCCAAAAATGACATGGAAATAAGTAAGAAGAGTACTTCCTATAGTTTGGCCTTAACACTAATGAGAAACGTTTCATTGTGAAAACAAATATGTAAAAATATAGAATTGTAATAAGATAAATTGGGGGATTAATATTACTTGAAAAAAATGATACTTCAGTTACTGTGCAATTTATCATAGAATTAATTTAATGTTTTTTCCCTAGTAGTTACAAACTTCAGTTTATAATAAAATGTTACAGAATTGAATGATGAAAAGTTCTGGCAAAGAGAAAGACTTTGAAAAGAAGCATAGTGGCCATAACATAGAACAAGTCAGTACCTACTTCCCTGCCTGGGATCTGTGAGAAATTTTCTCCATGAAGCCGCGTAAATGTGGGAGTCAGAGGCTGCCACAGACCACAGTGTAGCATAAGCAAAGGCACCTTTGTTAAAAAATAGCCTGGCAATTTCAGAATTCAAAATGTATCAGATGACATGATCTCTGCATGAAATTTAGGGTACTGCTGTCAAGCTTATTTAGATCATCATTACCCTCTGGGAGCAGATGGTAGATTTTACTCAACAATAATGTGTTTGGGTGTGTTTGCCTATGAGTGTGTGTGTGTGTGTGTGTGTGTGTGTGTGTGTGTGTGTATAGGAGTTTTAGGTACGTTGTCTTAGTCTGTTTTCTTTTCTTTGTCTTTGTCTTTGGACTTCTACTTGGCTTTTCCTGCTCAGGACTGGTATTCAACCACTTGAGCCATGCCTCCAGTTCCTTTATTTCATTTTCTGTTGCAATAAGAATACCTGAGGTTCAGTGATACACAAAAGACAGAAGTTTACTTTCTCACAATTCTAGAGGCTGGCATGTGCAAGATGGGGTTGTCACATTCAGTGGGCTCTCATAACTATAAAAGTAGAAGGGCATGAGTGTTTGTGATAAGAGGCAACTCAAGGTATTCTCACTTTTTTTTTTTTTTGGGTCCAGTCGTGGGGCCTGAACTCCTGGCCTGGGCACTGTCCCTCAGCTCTTCAGCTCAAGGCTAGTGCTCTACCACTTGAATCACAGCGCCACTTCCAGCTTTTTTCTTTTTGCTTATGTGGTGCTGAGGAATTGAACTCAGGGCCTCATGCATGCAAGGCAAGCACTCTACCACTGAGCCACCTTCCCAGCCCCAAGGTATTCTCACTTTTATCACAGCATACTTTCACAGTTTTCATCCAGTCCTGTGAGAAAAGCATTAATCACCCTAATAAATTCTCAAATACGACACCATCATTCAGTACCATTGCATTGGGAATTAAAGTTCCAACGCATGACGGGGTGTGGGAGAAGGCAGAGTCAAACCATAGCATGGCTAAACCCATAGTTGTCCTTTTGAAAGACATCAAGGAGAAGACACGGGAACAGTGTTTCCATTGAAGGAAACAGGACACAGGGAAACACAAGCCTGGCCCAGGGAAAAATGGGAGACACTCTTATCAATTGAGGTGCTAAGTGTGTATGGTCTTGTGGATGGAAACAAAAAGCCAAATAACCTCAAGATACAAGCCCAGAGCCCGTGGTGGGGTGGGGCTCTCATCTCTTGCTCCCGTTGGCTCCTTGTGCCCTGGCTTGTCAGCTCTCACATCACAGTGCCTGGCTTCTTCCAGGCACTGATAAAACTCATTCTTGAGTTTCACGTTAGAAATACAATTTAGATTCTTTCTTCAATTTCTTTCTTCTTGATTCCTAAAAATGATTTGGCAGATATCCCCTATTGTTTAAGTTCACCTATTCATTTTGATCCTGATTGCAAATCTTCATATTCGTTTCCTTTTCTCTGTATTTCTCTTCCTTCTCTTTCTGCTCCTCATCTTTCTCCTCCCTCGTCTCATATCCCCCCTTCTTTTCCTTATCCTCTTTGTCCTTTTTTACAAATAAAGAACATATATGAAGTATGTGTGTGTGAGTGTTTTCTGGTTTTAATAGAAATACATTTCTCCCCCAAGTTGAGAAAACCTGGTAGCCATTACCACTGGGAAGCCAGCATAGGGAGGACCGTGTATTACCCAAGTGCTGCCTCATTCCCTAACTGTCTTTGTGTCTAGCTACAAGGAGAACATCATGCACCTCTCCAGCCTTCACAAGGACCGCCCCATTGAGCCCCTGGACCTGGCTGTGTTCTGGGTGGAGTATGTGATGAGGCACAAGGGGGCGCCGCACCTGCGCCCTGCAGCCCATGACCTCACCTGGTACCAGTACCACTCCTTGGATGTGATTGGCTTCCTCCTGGCCATTGTGCTGACAGTGGCCTTCCTCATCTTTAAATGTTGTGCCTTTGGCTGTCGGAAATGCTTTGGGAAGAAAGGGCGAGTTAAGAAATCCCACAAAACCAAGGCCCATTGAGAAGTGTTGGGGAATAAAGGGAACTTTTAATGTATTTCCCAGTAAGCACATAACTTAAAAAAAAAAAAAAAATCATGCCCGGTACAGTGGCTTACACCTATAATCTTAGCTACTCAGGAAGCTGAGTTGTGAAGATCACAGTTCAAAGCCAGCCCAGGCAGGAAAGTCCTATCTTATTTCCAGTAAACGACTCAGAAAACTTGAAGCAGCACTGTGGCTCAAGTGGTAGAGTGCTAGCCTTGAGCTAAAGAGCTGAGGGACAGCACCCAGGCTGAGTTCAAGCCCCACAACCAACAGTAAATAAATAAACATAATTCAGTCACTGGTCAGAATTCATATTGAATGTGAATTCTGTCTCTCCAGTATCTTTAATCTGGACTGTACTTGTTTTTATTAACTAAATGACTTATGGAAGGATTGCACTTTCATTAATTTTCTTCATCATAAGTGTGACCTCTTAAGACAGAATTTGGAAGTTGTCCTGTGGTTTCCTGCACTTTAGATGATAGTTTTTACATTGTCTTCATCCTCTGATTTCTGCAGAAGTGTGGTTACTCTCTTCCTCCATGATGTTTGGTTCTTATTCATGTTCATGCTTCATAGGTGTCACTTGGTGTGTTCCTAGAAGGAAACCTTGAGCCTTTAGAGTGTACTGTTATCATTGAATGGCTTGGAGACCTTGGGAGCAGTGTACTGTTTTTACTTTGGGAAGGGGAATGAAAAGAATGATAGTATAAGATTGATGAATCTTGTATCTGAGAGGGTAATCACTGAACTAAGGTAAATAAAAGGAGGCACTCAGCAGCATGAGAGGAGCCATGATAGTGCTGGAAAGCCAGGGCAGGGGTGGTGACGATGCTGGGGAGCCATGGCAGGAACCTGCTAGACAAACTCACAAACGCCCTCCGAACAAGAACTTAGGACAGGAGGGGTTTGTGGGTGCCCAGTTCTATTCTGAGTGGTGAGCATGGCGCCTACATATTTTTCTTTCTTCCTGACAACCAGATATTTAGCTTCTGTATTCTGCTTCTGTATTTTGCTTGGCTTATAAAACATAGGAGGGTTGGAAAGATTCCATTTACATGACTCTCCTTCCCCACCCATTTTGGTTGCTATTTGTTGCTAATTGGGGCTTCTTCTGGGTTCCCGTTCAGTTAAAATTGGCTATTGACAAATTTCCTTTTGCTAATAAATTTCCTCATAATCAAGGTTTGGTTTCTGAGTTGGTGGTCTGGGTCCTAGGGATTTTTCAACTTGTTGCATCATCACTGTGTCGCATGGTTTAAATTCACCTGCCCTAGTGTTGGGCGCATACATTTTCTGTGATATTTCCTACAACTAAGAATTTCTTAATAAATATTTTTATTTTGTATTTTGTTGGTGTTTTTTTCTGCATCAATATTACATTTATTGTGAAATTGCAGTTTCTAATTCTGAAAGTAATACATGATTATGACAGAAAATTGGCAAGTAGAGATTGTCACACATGGACCTGCAGTTGCACAGGTACACACACAAGATAAGAATCATCTGCAATTGCACTGCCCAGAAATAACCTCTGTTACTGTCTAGTTTTGGGTCATGACTGTGTTCCAAAGGCCTCTGTGGAAGATTTGGTCTTCCCAGCCATTGTTACCATTGGGAGATGGTGGACCCATTATTAGGTGGGACCTGGCTGGTACAGCTGACTCCCACCTACAGCCCTAGCTACTCAGGAGGCTGAGATTTGGAGAATCTCAATTCCACGTTAACCTAGGTAGAAAAATGTTCTGGAATGTATTTCTAGAACCTCACAGCTGGGTAGCATGGCTCCAATGATAGAGCACCAGCCTGGAAAGCATGAGGCCTGAGTTCACACCCCAGTACTGCCAAAGAAAGAGATAAAAGAGGTGGGGCCCAATGGGAAAATATTAGGATTGGTTAGTGATTCATAGTTAATATCACCTTGAAGGTGATATTGGGACCCCCTCAACCCCTCACCCCCCATACCCTTTATCTTTCTACTTCCTAGCTATCTTGAATGGAGCAGTTTCTACTGTGTACTCTTTCTATGATGTGCTATCTCATTACAGGCCCAGAATGTTGGTCCAGTGACCCAAGGTGAAATCTTCTGAAACCGTGGGCCCAAATACAGTACACCTTTCCTCTTTTTAAGTCTGTTTATCTCAGGTATTATTACAGGAATTGAAAAATGATTAACACAGCTAATTTTGACAGTTAATGTTACACATTTTGACAAATACACATTGTTGCAAATATTTTCAATATACCAAAGATATCTGGTGTTTACTAACATTCTATATAAATTAGTTTTATGTTAGCAAATCTTTATTTCCAGCTAAAATGTTACTAATGTGACTTTTACTGTCCACATTTCTATCAGCATTTTGGTCTTCCCAGCCCTGACCAGCATCACCTATAAGGATCTTCTTCCTGCATTCGAGGCTGTCTCTACCCTGCTGTTTGAAACTCATCCAACCTTTTCCCATTCACCAATCCAAAAGTTCTTCCACATCTTTGAATATCAGTAATGATTCCACTCCCAATACCAATATTCTGTACTAATCAGTTTCTCATTACTACAATGAAGAAGTTTATGAGTCAAGTAACCTATAAAGATAAACACATATTTGGCTCATGAATTCAAGCTCTTGAAATTCTGTAGATTAATTGATAGTTTGTTTATTTCCTGGAAAGTTCCCACAGACTCAGAGCAGGGAGCTCAATAGAATGACAGCACGGAAGAGAGGCTGAGTGTATGAATAAACCACATTTGAATCAAATGACATCATCAGGAAAAAGTACTTTAATTTTGGGAAATCAAGAACTTTGTGTGTGTGTGTGTGTGTGTGTGCGCACGCGCACGCACGCGTGCGTGCACTCACGGTACTGGGGTTTGTGCCTGCTAGGCAGGCAGTCTACCTCTAAGCCATGCTTCTAGCAGGAAGACGCATCATTTTTTTCTTGATCTCATTGCCCTAATGCCTTTTCTAGTGAATACATTCAAGTGCATTGCATTTTGGGCCATTGCTTACCCACTTTGTGTAACTTTAAAAGATAGCTCTTTTGCCAGGTGCTGGTGGCTCATGCCTGTAATCCTAGCTACTCAGGAGGCTAAGATCTGAGGATCACAGTTCAAAGGCAGCAAAGGCAACAAAGTCCGTAAGACTTATCTCAGCCACCAGAAAACTGGAAGTGGCACTGTAGCCCAAGTGGTAGAGTACTAGCCTTGAACTGAAGAGCTCCGGCCCAGAATTCAAGCCCCATGACTGACCCAAAAAAAAACAAAACCCAAAACAAAACAAAAAACTTTTCTCCATTCCCTTGAGAGCTACATTTTCCCCAAGGGGAGGTTTCAGCTCTTACCTGTTTACCCACTTTTGAGTCTGGGTTGGTCTAAGACTTGCCTCAGTTATTCAGTTGATAAATGGCACCAAGCAATTGGGTATTGCTTCCAGTTCTAGGCCCCAAGAGGCCCTCAGGCTTCTCTCTCGGGTCCTGCTGTGACGACAGCAAGCCCCGCTGCAAGGGTCCCTCCCACTCTCATCATCACTCCAGCCAATAGCCAGTCAGCAACCAGCCACCTACCATCTGACTGTACACACATGAGCGATTCCATGTCTGCTTGGCTGGACATGGCCAAGGGTAGCAGAACCAGCCAGCTGGCCTATGTCTCCTGGATAAACATGATTGTTTTCAGTCAGTAAGTTTCAAGGAGATGTGTTATATACCAGTTGCTGACACATTCACTCTGGGCTCTAAATCCACAGATTTTCCTGTGTTGGGGCTGAAGACTCCCAGAAGACAAAGAAGTGCTACTCACCACTAATCCATTGCTGCACACAGTCATCATGCAGTCAGGGTAAGTGGAATTTGAATTATAGCCATATGACTTGGGTGATTTTTGGAAGAGACATAAAGGGCCCAGTGGGGAATAGGAGGAGGGAATGCAGAGGGGACTGGGAAAGAAGACCCACATGAAAACTGTGTCTCTTTATTTTGGATCAGTGGGTCTCCAAAGGAAGAGCCAAGAACAGTGTAGGGATTTCAGAGGGAAAGACCTGCTTGGCAGTAGGCACAGAAATCTCATTTTCTAGCCACTCAGGTTCCAGGAAGTGGAAATGGACTCCAACCAGGGAAAAAATGAGCTCCCTGCTGTGAGAAGTGTCCTAGCAGAGGCTGAGGAATTCAGGATGGGCAGACTTGGAAGTAAAACTTTTAAACAAGGACATTGGGGCCAACAGGGCTCTGAGCATTGTTCTGTTGCCCTGTAATGAATAGTATTTCATTGTGTCAACAATTGATCTGAACTGTCTCTGTAAAAATAAATTTTATTGTTATTATTAAGGTGCTGTACAGAGGATTACCATTTCATAAGTCAGATAATGAATGCCTTTTTTGTTTGGACAATGTCACCACTTCCTTCACTTTCCCCCAATCTTGGACTGTCTTGTCTTTCTTATCTACAAGAAACAGTGCAATACTTGGCAGCCAGGGTCCCTCCTCTCCTACCTGACTTTGGGGTTTGTCTTCCAAGTACCTTGTTGGTAGGAATCCCATCCTGTATGTTACCCAGTCCTTGGACAAGGAGTCCTTTATTCTACATACTACATACCCCCATCTTGGGCTCCAGCCTCCTGGAGCTTAGTTATGAATGTCCCCTCTCCTGCTGTATCTCTCTCTGACACAGGTCACAGGTCACCATACATCAGCGCGCGCGCGCGCACACACACACACACACACACACACACACACACGGGTAGCAGAAGTATTTAATAACAACATGCGGTTGAGCTTCTATCTTAGGGAGACACACACTCCTCAAAACCCTGTGTTAATAGACTGTCAGGGAGGCAGTTGGATCTCAAAGTTCCAAGGGTCTGGGATCTAACGGTGATAATTCTAATGAAACTCTCCCACCCTGCCAGGAAAGCTGATTTCCAATGAGAATTACTGTGGAGAAGCCCAACTGTCTCTCTTGGACAATGGATCCTGTCACTTGTTTGTATATCCATTGATATGTAATTGGGCAAAGAACAGACCTTTCCTTGTGATACAGTTTTGTTCCATCCAGAAGAGGACAGATGAAAAGGCCAGTACTTCGGTCCCAGGGTGGTTCTTTAAGGAGAAAGCACAGGGTGGTGATGGGCCTGAGGACTGAAAAACTTAGGAGAAGAAGGGAAAATGGTCTGGGAGCTTTCCATCCCCCCCCTCCCCCCGCCCCCGTCTCACATCAGTGCTAGTGTTTGTTAAGCCTTTATGAAGCTGGGATGTTGAGATCATTAGTCACCAGCTTTCCAGGTCCAGAAAAGGGGTGGCCCTTTCTAACCATTCTATTCCTTATTACTAACTAGTGGTTTAAAAGAACAGCCATTTCTTACTGTGTTTCCATGAGTTGGGAGTCTAGGTGTGGTTTTGCTAGGTCCTTTGCAGTGGGTATTAGAGGTTGTGATCAAGGCTGCATTCCTTTTTGGAGTTCAGGCTCCTTTTCCAAGCTCATGTGATTGATTGTTGGCTTATGGCTTTATGACTGACACTCCAAGTCCTTACTCTGTGGCCCTCCATAGGTGGTTTGTTCATGGCAGGTTACTTTTCAAGGCCATCAAAATGTCTCTGTCAAATCCGTAAGATGGAGTCTTAATGCTAATAATGTGATCCCGGTGGTGATTTCCTGCCACCTTTGCCATATTCTAACAATTGGAACCAAGACACAGGTGGTGCCCACACTCCGTGGGATTTAAACAAGGGCGTGAGGGGTTGGGGGCAGCCATTTTAGTATGTGTTGCCACAGCAAGAACTTTACAAATCTCATTTGTCTCCAAAGAACTTGAGGAAAAGATGACAGAAGAAGCCACAGACTTGGATGAAGATGCATCAAGGGAGGCAGAAGACCTGGGGCCTCTTGACAGTAGTAAGGGTGCCACCCGTCCCCGCACCATCTCAGCTCCTCCTCCGCCCTGCATGGCGGACATGGTGCCAACGGCGCAGCCAGAGCTGTGCAGGGGTAGGGTAGGTGAGGGATTCTGTTGCACCTCCTGTGGTAGTTATCTTAATCCCACACTTGTGCCATCTTTGTTTCAGGAACCTTCCAACAAGTCACTACCCTCCTGGACATCATGGATACCGAGCCATCAAAGACAGACACAGTTGGCGCTGGCCTTGATATGCGGAAGACGCTGGCCTCGGTGATCATCACAGAGAAGGCCACCACCGAGCCCTCTGTGGTGATGTATGCTCTCATCCACTGTCTGCAGATGCCCAAGGTAAGACCACTTCACCGTGGATGCCCTCCTCTGCGGCAGCCACTTTTGGCTGCCTGTGTGTCCACACGCCGTTCAGCCCACGTTTGTGCCCAGCACAGACAGTGCGAAGGGGCAGAGCTGGGCAAGGCTGGGTGATGTCCACCCCTTGAGAGCCGATTGGAGCTGAGGCTTTCACATGTTCAAGATTTGTCATCATCTTAGACAGTGAGTTTGGGAGCCACCTGGTTGAGACCTGACCTCTGGATTGGCTGATGCCTTAGTCTACTCAGTCTGCCATGCACAGCACCAGAGAATACTTGGCCCAAATAACAGGAAGACATCTCCTGATGTGGGAGCCCAGATATCTGTGATGAAGGTGCTAGCAGATCTGGTTTCTGCCGAGGCTCTCATCCTGGCTTGCAGAGTTGGAGCATGCACACAGAGAGAGCACTCTTCTGTAGATCCTCCCCAAAGAACACCTTGGCCAGACTTCATCAAGCCTTCCTCTGGAAGCCACCAAGGGTCGCTCTTGACAAATGCCAAGTCAGCTTTTCTCGTAACCATGTATATTTTTTCAGCATCTTCCTCTTTTCCCCACCTCCCTCCTTTTCTTCTTCCCTCCTTTAAATTCCTTCCTTCCTTTTTTCTGATTACACATGAAGATGATGATAGCAATGTACATTTTGCTTTATGTCCACATTGCGTAAAGATTAAATTGGGCAAACTCATCACCTTAACTGTTTATCATTTCTTTGTGAAGAGTACATTCAAAATCCCCTCTTGGCTATCTTGAGATTCACAGTGCACTGTTGTTAACTATAGTCACCCCACTGTCCATGAGAGCATCACAACATGTTCCTCTTCTAGACCTGCCATACTGTACCCACTGATCAACTTCTCCCCTCCCTTCCTTACTCTCTCCAGGCTCGTGTAAGCACCACTGCACTCTCATTTCCATGAGATCAACATCTTTAGATTCCACTTAGGAGTGAGATTTGTGTGTGTGTGTGTGTGTGTGTGTGTGTTACTGGGATTTGAACTCAGGTCCTCAACTCTCTCACACCAGCTTGAGCTGCTACTGCTCTACCACTTGAGCCATGCCTCCAGTTCAGAATTTTGCTGGTTAATTGGAGACAGAGATTCACAGACGTTCCTGCCTGGGCTGCTTTGAACCACACTGCTCCAAGTCTCAACCTTCTAGGTGGTTAGGATTACAGGTGTGAGTCACTGGCACCCTGGCTGTACCTTTCCGTTTTCAGATAGCTTAATGTCCTCTATGCCCATTCATGCTGGCACAAGTGACAGAATTTCATCCTTTTAGGTCTGAATAAAGATTCTATAATATATATACTCTTAATACTATATTTACTATAATATATTTTTATATATATCATACTTTATCCACTCATCTAGTGATGGGCTATCCATGGATGATTGTGTATCTTGGATATCCTGAATATGCTCTCTCATATTTACTGAAGATCACTTTGATCACAATTATCCTATTATACTTTTCCTGGATATTTTTATAAGGTGCTATTGAACTGTGTAGACCACTTGTTTGCTTTTAAAGTGTGGAGCATACATTCTCAATGGGATGTTATTGCTCCTAAACCGGCCAAACTTGGTTTTTAGGCAATGAAGAAAATTTCAATTTTCATATTGAAAATATAGATATGTATATAAGCCATTAAACATACACATGATATTAATGTACATATGCCATGAATGATTCATTGGGAAGCATTTGGGCAAAAATATCTACAAAAGCTCTGTTGGGCAGTTACACTGATAGTGGTAAATGTTCAGAAGCCCTGGTCTAAAGCCGGGTAGATGTCTTTCGTTTTTATCCAGGAATGGCTGGAGTTTTACCACTCTTATTTGTTTTCTCAAGACTATTCTACTGGTTTTCACCAGGAGATCTTAAAAACTTGAGTGAAGTCTTCCCTTCTTTTTAAAACATTTTTATTTTTTGAATTCTTTCCTTCTTGAGGTCTCCAAAATTGCTAAGATTTCTGGATGTCTACTACCCAAGCAGCAGGCGTGTCTCTAACAGGCTTTTCAGGCATTGTCCTCATGTATAAAGTCACCTTCATTAAGAGTGGCTTGTCTACTGGGAAGGCAAAGTTGGAAAAATTGTGGTTTGAGGCCACCTCAAGACATCATGTCAAAGTAAGGCAGGTTGCACACAACTGTGGTTCCACATCCATAAGAGGCATAGGTAAGAGGATTGAGGTTCAAGGTCTGCAACACAAAGAAAAAAAGGGCTAGAGTACCTACCCAGAAACTGTAAGGTCTTGAGTTCAAACCCTGGTACAGCCAAAAATGTTTTAAAAAGTGGCTTTGTCACTGGGCACCAGTGGCTCATGCCTGTAATCCTACTTACTCAGGAGGCTGAGATCTGAGGATCACTGTTCAAAGCCAGCCCAGAAAGTCTGTGAGACTCTTACCTCCAGTTAACCACCAGAAAACCGGAAGTGGCGCTGTGGCTCAAGTGGTAGAGCACTTGCCTTGAGCTGAAGAGCTCAGGGACAGCGCCCAGGCCCAGAGTTCAAGCCCTATCACCGATATAAAAAAAAAAAGTGGCGTTGTCATGCTTAATTGAATGAAGACATTCTGTCTGGTCTTAGGTGCACAAGTCATCTCATCTACCCCAGGGCTTATACCAGCATCTAGTCACTATTGCTCATGTAGGAATCAAAAGAGAGGAAGGGGGCTGAGGAGTGGCTCAGCTGGTAGAGTTCCTGCCTAGCAATCAGTTGGCGCTGTACCACCCAGAAAACACACAGTACTTCCCCCAAAATAATTCCAAAAGAGAGGAAAACATTTCTTGTCTCAGATGCTCCATCACCAGAGCAAAGCAGGACAAGACTACCTCCTGGGGCTCTCAAGAGAGCTAGTATTCCTTGTGTAGAGGACTTTGTGTGTGGACCATCCAAAACCTGCCTTATTCACTGAAACAGACAAGTTTGCAAGCCATAGTGACAGCCTCTTGGATGAGTGGGAAGGGAGTGAGAGAAGATGGAAGAGACTTGGTAGTTGGAGGATGATGTCTCCTCTGTTCAGATGGGGAGAGAAGTGTCAGGAAGAGAAGGGTGCTGGGGGAAGATGGAGTATAGAAGAGGAGTGTCAGGAAGAGGAGGTGGACTACTGGTGCTGGGGGAAGATGAAATACAGGAAGAGGAGGTGGACTCTCAGTGCTGGGGCATGAAAGGGGTCATCCCTGACCCAACAGCCCAGCCAGGAGTCTCCCACCTACCATGTTTGTTCTAGATCTCCACCCAACGCAAAATCAACATCTACAACATCCTCCAGGCCATCATCCAGCAGGAGGGAGAGCTGGAGGAGCACTGTGTGCAAAGGCTTGTCACCATTGCCTCCAAGGAGATGAGGGAGAGCCCCGAGGTGCCAGGGTCTGGGCTCCATAGTGCCTCCCCCCGTGGCCTGGCGTGGGAGGTCTGGGGCCCTGAGTGGTAACCTTATGACACTGGAGCAGGTTGAGCCCAAGGGAACCAGGAGGGTGGAAGGGGGTGGGGTTGGGGCTTCATGAAGGCCCAGCCAGTGGTGGTGCCTCTCCTGTCCCCTTCAGATGGACAACTATGTGCAAGCAGAGGTGGCCAGCGACACTTTGGTGGCTCTGTCCCGAAACCACTTCAGCTTGGTCATGTACGAGCTGCAGCACAACCTCAGGCCCCTTGACCTTGCTGACGAGTTTGTCATCATCACCTTGGCCAAATTGGCTAACAGCAATGGTAGGGCTCTGAGGCCTGGGCCTGGTTCCTGGTCCCTTCAGCCCAGCGGAAGGCTCTCTCCTGGTCTCTGTTCTTTAATCCCTGCTTATCTCTAACTGCCCCTCCCACCCCCGTGCTTTCCATTTATTTCTCTTCTTTCTTCCTTTGCTATTCTTTGTCTCCACGTGCCTCTGTCTCTCACTTTTCCCTCCTCTTTCCCTCTCTCTCTTCTCTCCCTTTGCCTGCATTGTTTTCTGTCTTCTCCTCTCTGTTTTCTTTTTCTTTCCTTCCTCTGTCCTTTTCTCCCAGTCCACAAACTAATCTCCTTCATGTGGACCTTGTGGTGGGCGGCGTTGAACCACAACATTGGATAAAACGTGCATGGTCTCTGTCTTCAGGATAAGAAACAAGCCAGGAAGTAGATGTGTTTGCATGATGACAGAAGAGCTGCGTGGCCATGTGAGCTCAGGCTGTTTGAGGAACCCTGTCCCAGTGGGGCTCTGAGTGAGGACACCATATTTTAGGGGAGAGATGGAAGATGACAGGAAGATGACTCTGAAGAGCAGGACAGGGGAGAATACTTCTTACAAAGGCTGAGGCAGAAATGACCTTAGTTCTCTGAAGCATGGAGAGGTCACTGTGCCTGGAAGTGGGGACCGCAGGGGGTTAGAGGTATTCGATGAGGGGGAGATTTACAAAGGGTCTGGGTCCCCAATAAAGTCCGAGATTTACTTGAAGTTATTCAAGGGGTAGTGAAAGATTCTGAGCTGCAGATACATGATGACATTTAGACTCCAAATGGAAAATCATTCTAGATGTTGATGGAGGGGTGGGTGGAGAAGGTTGGGAGGTGATGGACTGCGTCCTAACAGACCATCAAAAGAGGAGACTACCCCAAGTCAAAAGTACTTTGCCTCTACCACTCGAAGCACTACGCCTTAGCAACACTGTGCAAGGGAGGATTGTGGGCCCGCCTGGGGAGGCCCCATGACAGAGAGGGGGACACCTGTTACCCTAGACTGGCAATGTTCAAAAACAGAAGTATGGTTTCTATGGAAGGTGTCTTGCTTTTGCAGCATGGTAAAGTCTAATCCCAAAAAAGCCAACGTACCACCAGGTATGTCCCTGCCCAGGGATGAGAAGAGACTTTAGCATGAGGCTGGTGTACTGGGAGAAGGGAGAAGATGCCAGAGGCAGGGTTCCAGCCAAGGGGGAGGGGAATGGACATTCTATCACCATCACATAAACACATCTGCGTATATGGTTTTATACATATTCTAAGGTGAGAGAGAGGTGGAGCTGGTGTTCAGCATGAGTGGAAAGGACAGGTAGAGAGCGGCCTCCTGTGTGTTGGGTCTGCCACAGGTTCCCTTCTTCCTAATCTGTGACTCCTTTCAGTGTGCTGTCTCCAGTAGCCTCTTGTCTTCTCTGTCTCCCCATCAGCTATTATCCACTTCAGAGCCAGGGTCTGCGGGTGTCCCTGGGAGGCAAACACTAGTCCCAGGAGGCGGATACTCTGTGAGCTCCTATTTGGAGCCTTGTTCTCTTTCCACACCTGCCTGCCCCTTCCCTGTGGCTCTCTGTGTTCTCCTTTCTTTGGCCTCTCTTGGCCTATTCTCTCCTCTCCTTTTGCTCCCTGTACCTCTTTTCCTGGTTGTCCTGTCTTCTTTTGCTCTGCCTCTATTTCTAGTTCATTCTTTTTACATGTGCGCTTGCCATAGTTTCCTGTGTCTCAGCCAGGACAAAGCCTTCTCTGGCTCTGGGCTGTCGGGATGCAGGCAGCAGGGTTGTCCTCTCTGCTTTCTCCTGTCTCGCCCTTTCCCTGACTCCTCGTGCCCTCCCCTTCCTCTACAGTGTTTGAGTTCATGCCGTACATGGGCATCACCCTGGCGACCCTGTTCACGATGCTAAGACTTGCCAATGAAGCCAAGATGCGACAGGTGATCTGCAGTGGTACGTGTCCCATGTGGACCTGGACTCTCCAGGGTGCTGGAGGGGGAGAAGGGGAAACGGAGCAGGTAGAAGGGTTGTTGAACAAGAGGTGTGCTGTCATTTTTTCCTGTACTTGTGCTCGCTCTCCTACTTCAGTTTGGCATGTGAGCAGCGCACGTAGGGGCAGGTGGCTGAGACATGGGTGCTTGTGAGAAGACTGGGGCTGTCACTGACTCTGGGTAGCTCAGACTGCTAAAGAATTTCAGGAGACCAGAGAAGGGTGACGGGATGTTTGAAGGAGAGGATGGCAGTCAGGGAAAATGTCTCTTTTGGAGGCTTGACTTGGAGTAGGTATTTGATGCTATTTAAATCAGATAACTTGGCCCAGAGATTTGATTGCTTCACTTTGTTGCAGGCTAAGAAAATCCAGTGTTCACAAAGGGCGGGGGTGGTGGTGGTGGTGGTGGTGGTGGTCAGGGTGCCTGCTGCCATTCAAACCGGAAACCCCAGGCTGTGGTCAGGAATCACCCGACAAGCCCTGCCCCTGACCCAAGTACTAAAGGGGAGCAGGGGCCTAGCCACATGGGGTGCTCAGCATTGACAAGGCTGCTCCGTGTTGGGGAATGACTCTCAGCAGAGAAGGGCCAGAGGAGTAGTCTCCACAAGCATGGGAGGTCATGGGGAGGGCTTGGCTCTTCTTGAGTCCCATCTGTTCCCCCTCTACCTCTGTCCTCCCCGTCCCCCCCCCCCCCGCCACCGCTGGCAGCCATGGAGACCTTCTGTGAGACAGTGCAGTTTTATCTGCGCCACCTGGAGGACAGCCTGTACCCCGTGATGACCGAGGAGCAGTTTGCTGTCAAGGTCTTCCCCATGTATCGCTACTTTGTGACCGTGTGGCTGAAGCACTCCCAGCCCGAGGTGAGATGATGCACCCCGCTCTGGAGCCGTGCTTCCCTCCAGGGCACTCCCCAGACTGTGGGGCTGGGAGAGGTCGGGGGCCGGCCCTCATGGCTGGGACCTTGGAGAACTCCTGGACTTGTGGATGCCGAAGCGGTGTAGTCACGGGAGGCTGGTGTGAGCCGGACCTCGATAAAGGCAGCAGGGAGGCGTTAGGTATGCGCAGTGAACCTCTGAACACCTGCTCCAGAGCTGGGCCTGCTCCAGGATCTCCCCAACCGGGCTGTTTCCACACCCACCCCTTGAAAGAGGAGAAGTTTCCTAGTGAAATAAAACAAGCAAACTGGGGCACAAAGAGGTTAACCACTTGTCTACTGTCATTTGGTTATAGGTGGGACTCCAGCCAGGTAGTTTGGTCACTCCCCAGCACTGTGGGGCTCCGGGGCAGGGCCTGGACTCTGACTGTTGGGATCTGTGGGTGTGGCTCTGGGACCCCATTTCCTATGGCAGGTGAAGCTGGGGGTCATCAAGTCCCTGAGGCCCATGCTGACCCTCCTCCTGCCCAACGACGACCTGCGGGAGCAGGTCTACGACTACATCCCCGTGCTGCTGGCCGAGTACCAGGGCGGCCTGGAGGCCCTTTTCATCACCCAGGTGAGGGCCTGGAAACTCAGGAAACACGGGGCTGTCGTCTGGGTAGAAAGACATGCAGTGGTTATGATATCCTGTCAGCAGACTCAACGTCTGTACCCTGGGAGGGGCCAAGAGCCCTGGCCCTTGCTGGGTATGTGATTCCCAGTGGGGGGGACCAGAGGGGGCCTGAAGGTTCTTGTGTTGGTTTCTTATGACAGCCACAGCTAAGAGCTACCATAGTCTAAAGATCCTTAGCTGATCAGCATAAGGGCACATGCGAGGTACAGGCATTGCAGGGTTCCAAGAGGGGTTATGGCCTGGGCTAGTGGACACTGGAAGAGGTCATGGGTCTACAAGCAGGGCACCGCCCTGCACTGTAAAAACAAGGAACAGAAAAGAGTATAACAGATGTATGGGACCACCGGTGGATCACTTTGACTAAGGAATGGGACTCATTCCAAAGGACTAGGAGAGGAGGTAGAAGGGGCCTTGAATGCCATGCTAGGTGACCCTGCACAGTGCTTCACACATTCACTTTATAGAAATCACCCAGGGCTGGTGGGAATATGGGGCCCAGGAAGTATAGATAGGGCTCAGTCCATGCTTCTTATCAGTTCCGGGGGACACTGGCACCACCAACTCAGTGACCTACTGAGTAGTAAGGGTCTAGAGTTGGACCCTGAGTGGGTAAAAGGTTGCATGTGACCCTCTGTTCATCGTTGTAGGTACTGAGGCAGATTCTAGAAATGGCAGTTACCACCAATACTCCTATCCCGCAAATGCAGCTACACCCCGTGTTCACAGAATTACACATGCAGGTAAGGCCAGCAAGCCCAGCTGGCACTGGCATCTTCAGGGTGTGTCAGCAGGAAGCAGCTGTGGGGAGGGACTGGGCCCCTGGCTCACTCACCCCTCCTGCAACCTGCTGGGCTGTGGGCGTCGTCGGGCTGGGCTGTGGGCGTCATCGGGCTGGGCTGTGGGCATCGTCGAGTGTCCTGCCCTCGCGTCCCTGGTTTCTTGTGAACTGTCCCTCCCCACCCCCCTGTAGGTGTGCAACAAGGCCCCAGCCCAGCATCAGTTCAGTAGCCAGAACCTGATGGAGATCGTGCACTGCTTCATAGCCCTCGGTGAGGCTCCCCCACAGGGCTCGGCTCTGTGCGGGGCCCAGGGGAGTCCCAGGCCCTCTGAGCCCCGGGCTGGGGGCTGTTGCCCTGTGCTGGCTGGGGCCCCAGTGGGCATGACCACAGCACTCCTTGTGCCCTGCAGCTCGCTCCTACCCCAAGGAACTGATGAAGTTCTTCTTCAGTCAGATGGAGATGAGCAAGGAGGCCGTCCGCGTGGGGACGCTGAATCTGATCAGAGCAGTGGTGAGCGCGGACGGTGAGCATAGGAGGGATGGGCAGGGCGGGCAGGGTGGGGCAAGGGGAGCTGGACCTTACTTGTACATGGGCCACTGCCAATTCCTCTTCTGTAAACGAGGATGGAGGCCAGGGTGCCAGGCCCCTTGGTTATAAAACATTTTCTAGCCTTGAGCTCAACCTGCCATGTTGCCCCGTCTGGAGTCACAGCCGCTCCATGGAGTCTGACTTTCAAACCTGAATCCTGCTGTGGGCCTCTAACGCTAAATCAAGGCTGGAGATGAGTGCCGCGGACCGGGTTCTGTCGGGACGACGGAGGACACCTAGGGGAGGAACCTGGAATAGGATGGGGAGATGGCAAACAGACAACTCACACACATTAGGAGTGGATGCTGAGTGCGATTTAATGCAGAGGATAACAAACTTTTATAGCAAAAAGTCTCCATAAGAAAGGGCAAAAGGTTACACAATCTTGCTGCAAGGCTTCGGTCTTGGATGGTCACCAGCTGGTCGCCTGAAAGGGCAAAAGTTTACACAATCTTGCTGCAGGGCTTCATTCTTGGGTGGTCAACAGCTGGTCGCCTGAAAGCCACTTGTTTCGGGCTTATCTCTAAGAAATATAATGGGTTTCGACGTTTGTCACCATCTAACCATTACCTTATTTCTATAGAGGCCTTAATTGTCCCATAAGATTTTTCCTTCCTGTTCCTTCTTTAATAGTAAGGTCATGGAGGCCTAGATCTAGCAAGTCTCTTAGTAAATGAAAGAGAGTAACAGGAAGTTCTTTCGCCTAACTAGTTATCTCAGCAATTGCCATACATTCTTTCTGTTCTAGCCGCCCTACAGCTTCTTGTAAGTCTCTTACAAACAATTCCTTCTGCTGAAATGACTTCGTGAAACCCCCAATACTTTAATATTTGCTTATGGCTTGTCTACTAGCCTCCATAAGAGGGGTTTCAGGGTAGCACTTAACTCCGGTGAGTTAGTCATATTTTTAAGACACTCATCAGATATTGGAGTCATTAACACTCTTAAGAAAGAGCTTTGAATAAGGGAACGTTGACAATGAATAAGTACGATGAACAGTAGAAACAGTAAAAGATTAATAGGCACTCTTATGAGGAAAAGAAAGGCAGAAACACATCTTTCCCAGGGGCTTGCCAGCCTTTTTCCAGGAGTAGGCCTCTTAGAAGCCCTATTCTCCGAGGTAGACTTCGGTGAAGTCCCAAAACTTGGAGATAGGTTTCTGTAAAGCCCCATTCTCTGAGGTAGACTTCGGTGAAGTCCCCAAACTCAGAGATAGGTCTCTGAAGCCCCTATCTTGGTCTGATAGATGGTTTCCCATGCTAAGCAGACTCCACTGGAGTCGGCGTAGCAGATGAGGCCTAACCTGGCTGAGCAGATGTGCGGCCCTGGGCCCCTGAGTACACCCTGACCCTAGCCCCTGTCCTCCAAATCGCCCTTTCCGTGTGCTGGCCATAGCATCAACTCATTTGCTGCCCACAGCCCCTCTGCGGGGGAGGCACAGGTAGCTCTCACAGCTCGCAGGCGGGGAAATGGAAGTATGGAGAGGCTTGGTAATTCATTTGAGGTCACACAGCTGGGGTGAGGTGGAGCCAGGGTTCCACCCCTGGCAGACTGTGTGCCCCCAAGCGGTATGCCGAGCTATGGGAAATGGGTGCAGGGCTTTAGCTCCTCAGCGTGGACCCTATCCTCAGGGTGGTCACCTGAGGCCGATGAGGTGCATGCCAAGCAGTGGCCAAGATAATAAGTTGTAAAAATGATGCCCTCTGGGCTCAAGAGCAGGGTGTTACTGTGGATCCCAGGAGAGGGTTGTGCCAGCGAGATGCTGGCCAGCAAGGATCCTAAAAAACTACCCCTGAGCTTGTGGGATGTTGAAGGGTCCTGATGTGGGGTGCAAAGACTTGCCACGCTAAGCTGCAGCCCTCCAGGTCGGCCTTCCTCTTTCAGAGCCCAAAATGAATATCAAGACCATCTACCTGGCCATCCGGGTGGTGAAGAGCATCCTCTCCGACAGCCGCTCCAAGGTAATGGGCCAGGGACTCCATCAGGGGCACCAGCTCTGTAGGGCAGAGGCCTTTGGAAGAAGCCTGGCTTCCACATGCAGCCTTACTAGCGACAGAGGGGAGCAAGGCCCATGAGAGCCAAGGTTCCTCCCAGGACTGTCATTCTTGCTAAGGACCTGGAGTCTTCAGGTTGTTCCTTTGGGTCCACCTTGCTTCAGTGATAACTGCTTGCTGTATGGGGCTGGTGTAAGGTCTTCAATGAAAGTGAGAAAGGTCATTGAGGGGCCTTATTCACACACACACACACACACACACACACACACACCACTACATTGAGGGGCCTTATTCACACACAACACACACACACACACACGCCACTACAGGCAGTATTGAGGGGCCACACACACACACACACACACACACAAACACACACACACACACACACGCCACGACAGGCAGTTTGGAGTTTCCAGAGCACTGAGCAAAGAATACTTCGCAGTTCAGGCTCTGGCTGAAGGCCCAGAGGTGGCCTCACTGGCAGGGTGTTTCCTAGGAAAGATGACAGCGAACAGAGTGGTCCCTAGAGCCCCTTCCAGCTCAGAGAACCCCAAATTGCTGGTGTCTCATGTCTAAGCCTTGGGCTTTCGGGGCTGAGTTCCTGCGGAGGGGCCGACCTCACCAGCAAGTCCATGTCTCTGTCCCTCAGGTGAGGATGGCGATTCTGCGCATCATTGGCCAGCTGGCTCTGTCTGGGTACCAGGAGAAGATCAAAGGCTGGGGTCTGAAATACGTGTCTGTGCAGCTGACCTTATCCACCTACAAACTGGTGAGTGGTCCCTACGTGAGGTGCAGCTGGGCTCTGGAAGTTTCCAAAGCACTGAGCAAAGAACACTACTCAGTGCACTTGCATTTGGATCTATGTAGGCACATAGGACATAGGCACAAGGACACAGAGACCCTGCAGGTCAAGATGTCTTAGGTTTCCAGGCAGGAGGCCTAAGCATAGCTCTGAGCATCCTGGGTCCCAGGATCTGGGCAGGGAGCCTCCTGGGCTGTGAGGACACCAACCCCGCTAGTCCTCCAGTGGGGACGCTTCGATTCTGCCTTCCAGACCAATCACCGGGAGTGCTTTTATCAGAGGGAATTGGAGGAGAAGATGGTCCATAAGGTTACCATGGAGACTGTGAAGATCATAACCTCTTCTGTCAGTGGCATGACCAATGTGAGTGAGTCCACTCCCCGCCCAGCGGTCAGCACAGCAGAGCCTACAGCTCCATTGCCCATGGAAGCAGAGGAGCCAAGAATTCCCTGCCCAGAATCCTTCACTTCCCCTTCACCTGTTCCTATTCCCTGCCTGGGGCACTTCTTCCACTTGACTGAGCTCTTTCCTTCCAAACCCGGTTCTACAACTTGGTCCTTAGGAGGAACCTACTCTGTTTCTCCAGAAGCTATGACAGTGCTCAGCACACAGTAGGCCTCAATATATATTACTTGATTTATGTGTCCATATTTTAAAGACCTTTCATTCAAGTGTGTGTGTGCACATGTGTGTAAGATAATATCCAGCAAGTTCCTACTACATGAAAGGCATGAAGGTATGCACTAGGAAAACTCATTGTGATCACCAGGATTTCATAGGTTATAGGAGAAACAAATATGTAGACTTTTAATTGCAGTGAATGGTGATAAAATACAAGACAGGAAAAATTTTTCACAAGAGGATCAAAGAGGAAATGATTATCAACTAAGTGAGGCCATAGTTGGATGCATCCTGTCTAGTGACAGCTTACTTTTATTAAAGAAATAATGAGATTAATAGTAATGGCTACAGTCTCTGACCTATGTGTAGCAGGTATGTGACATGCATAATCTCATTTAATTGCGTGGTAGGTTCTCTAATTACCCTGATTTTACAGAGGAAGAAAGTAGGAGTTGGTAAACAGTAAAGCCAGGATAAAAATGTGCTTCATAACTCACTGTGTGCCTCTCCAGCAGAACCCAGGCAAAAGAAGACGTCCTGGTGACTAGAGCAGATCACATTATCTCACTTATTATTGGTAATACCGGAGCCTCATCCTAAATTCCCAAAAGTAGGAGTAGGCTGAAGGTGACCTCAATTAGCTAGGGGTGTTTATTACTCCAGGAACGGAGACCCAAGAATCTGTATCCGTCAGGGCTCCCCCAGAGAAACAGGACCAACAGAAGGCAAGACATTTATATGATGGACTTGACTCAGGCCGGGCTGAGCTGGCAAGTATGAAGCAAGCAGGTCAGGATGGCAGGCTGGAGTTGCAGGCTGGAAGGGAAGCTGCAGTCTGGTGGCAGAATTCTTTCTTCCTCCGTCTTGTGTTCCTAAGACCTTTCAGCTGCCTGGATGGGACCACTTCCTAAGGAAGATCTCCTTTCTGGAGCATGGACTTCCATCATGGCGGTGCTATCTGATGCCAATTGATGTTTGATTGGATGGCTAGGTTCTCTTATCCAGCCAAGTTGATAAATCTGACTGTCTCAGCTGTCATGTATATCTAGGTCACTTGCCCAGCATGCAGTTCCAAAGGACTTGGCCGGGGAGGAACTGGATGAGAGGATGTAATGGGCACAGGGTGGATCTGAGGCTCGTGGGGACATGGGTTGGGCAGAGTGCATGACAGGATGGCTGGTGGCGGCCACCAGATGCCAGGGTTAACAGGAGAGTCTGTGGAAAGCTGGCATAGGACAACTCTGGGGGTGTTGGGTGGAGCTGCACTGAGGATAGAGCCTGACTGATTTCCTTGGAGGCTGTGCGACATCCTCAGCCTATCTTGGACACCCTTTTCCCATCCCTGCCTCAGGAGTTCTGGGTGAGGCTCCTGTGCTACATCATGGAGACAGACTACACCGAGGCTTTGACCCCCATCTGCATCAGCCTCACCAACCTGGCAGAGCACCAGCTCCAGGAAAGGGAGGAGGAGGAGGCCAATGGAGCCAGCAAGAACAAGCGTGGTGGGCAGCATCCCTGTGCTTGCTGGTGGGATTGGGCAGGTGGGATGGCTCCTTGTTACTCCTCTCCATTGCTTCCCCAGACCTCCCTCTCTCCAGGAATCACCCACAGTCCACTTTCCATGTCTAAGGGGGTGCTAAAACCCTACAGACTTCCTCCCAGAAGCTTGCTCTTCCTCTTCCATACCCCAGCCCAAATCCTGGCCTGGCTCCTGCCCTGATGAGCTCCTGACATGGTCTTTATCATCCGGACTTTCTGAGGCAACTAGAGGGACTATAGGTGTCCCAACCAATTCCTGTGAAGATCAACCCCACAATGTGGGCACAGGCTCTCAAGTACATGTCACCTATAGCCTATCACTGCAGTATCCACCCTCCTCCCCTTCCTTCTGTCCCTTCCCACGTCTAGTTCCAAGATGGCTGCTCTCACGGACCTGGGGAGAAGTCCCCAGCAGAGCTTGGCTGAGAGTGGAGGTGATGTAGGGATGTAGGTTGATAGTGTCCAGGGATGGATGTGTTTGATCTGAGAGGACTCGTGGCCCCCTAAGGTCCTTCTTGTGGCCCTCACACCCCTGACCCCAGTCCTGATTCCCACACTTGCAGTTTCTCAGGCATAGCCCTTCCCTTGCCCGTCAACTCAAGCTTTGTGAGTTTGCCTTTCAAAGGCTCATTGGCTTCCAGAACCTGCAGAGAAGGGCAGTGGGAAGCTGGGGCAGAGGCCAGAGTTCCCTGTAGGAGAATCATCATGATAAGTCCTGGCATCTACTACAAAATAGGCATGGCCTGAGAAAGCATCCTCTAAACCCAGCCCATTAGCATGACCCTCCCTCTTGCTGGGAAAAGTCAGAGACCACGATGGTGAGATGGTGACGTACTTTTTAGGGATCCCCTGTGCTGACCACTCAGCCTTCATTCTGGGATGTGGGGGGCGGGGCAGTGCAGTCATGCTGGGAGAACATTATGTTCCCCTTACCATGGGGCCCTCAGGGGACACAGGGCTTGCCCTGCTGTGGGCTGGGCAGCCTTAGCTGAGGCTGCATCTCCTTCCTCAGTGGAGCTGCCTGCGCCTCAGAAGCTGCTGGCCCGTCTGCTGGTGAGTGGCTGACTTGTCCCTGCCCTGTCCTCATGAGGCCATGCCCTGTGGCACCTCTCCCCATTGAGTTCCTCATTCCCAGGGCCCCAGAGGGAGGCAGGAGCCAGGTGCCTTGAAGGAGCAGGACACTGTCAGGAGAGTGTCCCAGGTATCCACTGTCTATCTTGGGGAGCTATGGCCAGCAGCACTTGTGTTCAGACATTAGGACTCAGACACAACCCTCCCCCAGATTCTTTTGTCCAAGGCAACCCAAGGATACTGCCGATGGCCTGCTTGCCCGGGCACTAAGAGGTGTTCTGTTCCTAGAGTCCTCTAGACTAGAGTGCCTCTAGTGTCCTAGAGACACTAAATTAATGCTTCATGGAGGCTTGGGGTGTAGGAGGCCAGACCTGGCCTCTCTGCAGGAGCCTCTTCACCCGTGGGCTGTGAGTGAGGACCTCAGGTTCAAATATCCCTTTACAGTGAGGACTGGGAGCTCCTGTCCTGGGAGCAGGGAGCCCCACCCTGCTGCACTGATGTCCTGTGCCCTTCAGGTACTGATGTCCTCACCCTACAAAGGGGAGGGCCGTGGCATAGCCATGCTCAACCTCCTGAGGACCCTGAGCCAGAGCATTGCTCCTGCCATGGCGGACATGTGGGAGGCGGAGATCCCACTGCTGGTCCAGTACCTGGAAGGTGAGGTGCCCACTCGGTGAGCCTCCTGAGCATTCACTGTGTGCCTCCAGCAACAGAAGCCTCGGCTCCTGGTGGTCCCATCAAATGCTGAGGACCAGAACAAATGGTCCTGAGGATTTGATGAGCAGCTTGGGGAGGCGGGGTGAGGGATGGATGGTGCGTACAATGGGCTCATCCATGGAGGGCCCCAGATGCCAGACCAAGGAGGCTGAGCCAGAGTGGGCCGAGGAGGAGAGCATGCCGTGAGACCATGTGTGTGCTCCTGCAGAACACACCGAGTACACGTGGAATCAGAAGGCCTGGGAGGACAAGCTAATTCAGGTAAAGGAATGAGCAGTTGTCTGAGACCAGGATGGGGGACAAAAAGGGAACAAATGGGAGAGTCTTTTGATGGGGCGGACATGTTTAGAATCCCCTAGAATACATGTTTTCTTTCTATCCAAAAAACCCCACAAAAACTTGACATGTATGAAGTCTGTCGCTCTATCAACAAGGAAAAATGGTGAGAACCAAATACCAGGAAAAATAGCAAGGGCTGTACGTCACCCACCACACCTAAATCTCAGTTATTCCCCATACTCTCAGAGCCAGAATGCCAGTGCTGGATTGGGGCTCTAGAGAGAGAATGATCTAGAGAGGATTGCACAACCTCCCCTCACCTCCAGTGACTTCTATCTCCTTAGTTTCTGAGAAACTCCCTTAAGAAGACCCGGGGGACCAACTGGAGCCTTCGCCTGAGCAAAGAGCTCAACAACCAGATCGAGACCTTCAGCAGCCCCTCTCTGGAAAAGGTTTGTCCCACAGGACCAGGGAGTGCCGGTGGGGAGGGGATCTCAGGCACGGGAGGGAGACGTGATGGTAGTGTCAGCTGGGCCTGTGGCTGTGGTACAAGGGCATGTGAGTAGAAATAGAGGGTTTAGTCCAGTGAGTTCTGGTTTTTTTATCCTTCAGTTCCTGGTTCATGATTACCTCTGTATGTTTATTTGTAAAAAATGTTATTCTTTTAAGTGTTGACTATTATTTAAAGAAAAAATTTAAAAAGTTAAAAAAATGGAAGTAGAGAAATCTAAATCCATGTTCATGGGTTGGAGGCAATCCAATATCTATATATTCAACGTTGCTGTCATTATAGTCCCAACGGCCCCCACCATTGACAATCTGATCCCAAAAATCATAGAAGAATATAAGAGAGCCAGAATAGGTAATGAAATTATGAGAAAGAACAAAGTTGGAGGACTCACACATTCCATTTCAAGACTTCTTACAGAGCTTCCGTAAAAAAGACAGTGTGATACTAACCTGAGAGTAGATATCTAGATCGATAGAATACAATTGAAGTCCAGAAATAAGATAACATCTAGAATAAACTGATTTTCAGTAAGGATGCTCAGACAATTCAAAGAGGAAAGAAAAATCTTTTCAAAAGCAGAACTAAAACAATCACATAATAAGGATGAATTTAGAACCCAGTTTCACATAGTACACACATTCATCAAAATGGATAATGGGACTGAATATAAAAGCTAAAAGTGTAAATATCTTAGTAGAAAATATAGTGATGAGTCTTCATGACTGAGTTAGGTAAAGCTGTTTCAGGCTTAAAAACACACACGATGAGAGAGAAAAAATAGATAAAACTGAATTATCACAAAAATTGTCTTGTGCTGAAAATAATAGCAACTGGATAGTGAAAAGATGATCCACTGAATGGAAGAAAATATTGGGAAACCATATATTTGATACACACATATTGCAGCTCACTAATAAAGGCAAACCAATTAAAAATGGACAATGATGCACCAATAGCCATAAAATATATGAATACATGTTTGTAATCATTATTATTAAGGGGATGTAAATTACTAACAAAATAATGAAATAGGACAACACATCCACCAGTTAGGTATAATAAAAAGATAATAAGCAGTGTTGTCAATGATGCAGAGAAACTAGAGCTTTTATATACTGCTGGTAGGAATGTAAAAGTGTGAATTGGCTTTGGCAACTAATTTGATATTTCCTAAATATGTTAAGTATGTATCACTACATTATCTAGCAATCTTACTTCTTATTATACGTGGCCATGGAAACGAAAAGAACTATTTGCACGGGACTGGGAAGGTGGCTCAGTGGTAGAGCGCTTGCCTTGCATGCCTGAGGCCCTGGGTTCGATTCCTCAGCACCACATAAGCAAAAAGAAAAAAGCCGGAAGTGGTGCTGTGGCTCAAGTGGTAGAGTGCTAGCCTTGAGCTGAAGAGCTGAGGGACAGTGCCCAGGCCCAGAGTTCAGGCCCCACGACTGGATCCCCTCCCCCAAAAAAGAAACAAAATATCAATACACACAGCATCTTACATGAACCATGAAAACATTATGTCCTAAATAAAAGAAGTCAGACATAATAAAAAGTAGCATGTGTTATATAATTCCCTTTATATGAGAAATGTCTGAGACAGATAAATCCACGAAGACACAAAGTAAACTGTGGTTGAAGGGAATGTTCCATAATTGTAAATGGGTATGGGGTTTCTTTTTGTTGTTGGTGGTGGTCATGAGGCTTGAACTCTGGGCCTGGGCGCTGTCCCTGCACTCTTCAGCTCAAGGCAAGTGCTCTACCGCTTGAGCCACAGCACCACTTCTGGTTTTCTAGTGGTTTATTAGAGATAAGAGTCTCATGAGCTTTCCTGCCTGGGCTGGCTTAGAACTGTGATCCTCAGATCTCAGCCTCCTGAGTAGCTAGGATTACAGATGTGAACCACCAGCACCCGGTGGTATGGGGTTTCTTTAAGAGGATGATAAAGTGTTCTCAACTTGGACTGTGATGATTGTCACACAGCTCTAAACATACCATTGGAATTTTGTGCTTTGGATGGATGAGTCTTACAGCATATGAACTGTATCTCAATAATGATTTTTACACACTTCAATAGAAGTTTAGGTTTTCTATGGGTGTCAACAAAAATTATACTTATTAATACATGGTAGGTAAGCATGTGAAAATGACAGATAGCAAAGGGTTATCCTACAGATATCTTCACAATTAAGCCCCATAGACCTGTAGGTATACGCTTATATCACATGTTAATTTGTGTTGTATTTGAAGGGAAATTGTAGCTAGCATCCAATGAACACACCAACCACATTAAAATAATTCATGTTTGGAAGTGGTGCTGTAGCTCAAGTGGTAGAGCGCTAGCCTTGAGCTGAAGAGCCGAGGGACTGCACCCAAGCCCAGAGTTCAAGCCCCACGGCCAACAACAACAAAAAATTCATGTTTAAGATCAACACATAAAAAATTCCCTGTGGCTCAAATAACTTGAAAAGTCTTGATTAGCTGCTTTAACAGAGGCATCCCATTTAGACCCTCACCATCTCTTTGTCTCTTATGCTGATACCCTTCATGTTGGCTAGGTGGTGGCACCCAGATTGTTATCTTAATAGACCAGCCCTTTCCAAAATTAAAATGCAAAGATGATTATATTCCCTGTGTGCAAAATAGTAATAAAATGGAAAAAGTTCCCACTCAAAGTAGCAACACAATGGAACATATGTAAGCAGATAAAATGTGGAGCATATGAAAGACATGGAGTCAACCTAAGAACAAAGCATTGTAAGGAGTGCAAAGAAGTGGAAAGTGAGTCTGAGGGCTAAAGAGGTAGCTCAGTGGTAGAGTATAGGACTGTCATGTGTGAGGCCCGGGGCTCCATTCCTAGGACTGCAGAGAAAGAGGCAAGGGTAAACTCTTGGAAAAATAAGCAATCTCTTGTTCTTCCATGGAAAGTCTCAGTGGGTACATGAATCCATGTGCTTCAGATTGATTTATGACATGGTTTTCTCCTTCAAGGAGTGTTTGTAGAATGGTTACAGTTTTGTGGGACTTGACCAGATTATTTCCAAGTTCATGAGTGATAAAGTGAGAGAATATACTAAGAACATATGGAAAAAGAAGCACATTAATGAAGGATTTGTCCTAGAGCAGAGCAGTGTATGGAACAAGTAGGGAGGGGGAGGGAGGAAAGCATAGAAGAAAGGAGATGGGAGATAAAAGGAGAAGAGAGGAGAGGGAATAAGAAAGGAGAGGAAAGAGAGGAGAAGAAAAGAAAAATAACTACTTGATTTTAAATCTTGGTTTTTCTTTCTGCTTGTTTTCTCATCTCTAAATACAAACAAGTTATTGTGAGGATTTAATGAAACAACACATGGTTATATTAAATTTCCAAATATACAAATGAAGTTCTTAGAAAAATGAATCCATCAGAAAAAATATAGCCAAAAATTCAAAGAACTAGAATAGTTCATGAGAAAGATGAGCAACATGACTATAATCAAAGAAACAAAAAAATAGATAATATGCTATATCAGGGCAAAGGTGGAAAAATTGGTTTCTAAAGTTGTGGAAGGCAGTATACATTGGTTCAACCTATGTAGTAGATAATTTGCTAAAATAACTGCTTGGCCATATGTAGCCTGACTCCTCAGAATAACCTGAATATTTTTTAATAAAAAAATGTATATGTTAAGAACAGAAACAAAACAAAAAAGCAAAATCCAAACCCACCCCAAACAAAACAACCAGGAGGGATGGTAACAATCCTAACAGTGCCCCCTGGAGGATGTGACAGGAAAGCCTGAGCTCTTCTCTACTTCTCCAGGGCTTTCTGTACCGGGCCTTGGGCTTCACCTTGGCCATGGGCCTGGAGGCTGACAGGGTGGAGGTGCAGCTGTTGGAGCTTCTGTACAAGACAGACTATGGCAATGACTTTGACCGGGAGGTGAGAATGCCTGCAGTCCCCTCCTGTCCACCAGATCACTCTGGACCTGGGGGCAGGGCAGGGAGGGCAGGGGGCTTGGGGGAATGTACCTGCACACACATGCACACATTAAGTATGCACATGAACATGAATGGGTTCATGCATGTGTGTGTGTGTGTGTGTGTGTGTGTGTGTGTGTGTGCACCTGTGTGTGGGATCCCCTCCTGACTCTGCCCTCATCTGGCTAGCTGGGTCTTCCTGCAGGGTGTGATCCTGTGCTTTGGCCTGTGTGCCCGGGGTCAGGTGAAGACGGTGCTCAATGTACTCCATGAGTTTGAGGAGAAGATCCAGGAGTCAGAACAGTCCTGGCAGATCAGTGCCTGGCGGGTAAGATCCCTTCAGTCCACAGCTGGGTCTCAGGACCTCTGACTATAGCACTTGGTTCACAGATGCAGAGTTCTTGCTAGGCTTCAGTGAGAAATTCCCACTCTCTGTCTCTTGCCACCAATATGATTGAGATTAGAATCTTCTTCCAGAGTTTTTGCTGTTGAGTTATCTGAAAAACAGATTGGGCCTTCCCAGGAGCCAGATATATATATATATATATATATATATATATATATATATATTGCCAGAATCTTAGCATCTGGGAACTCAGGGTGGGTTCCTCACACCAGCAGGGTACATTTTAGCCCCATGGGAGCCAAACACCCTGGATGGCTGCTGTCCATGCATCTTCCTTTTCTGGTGGTTGATGGGAGGTCCACATTCCCACCATTTATAGGGGATAACAAGGAAGCTTGTCCAGACATAGAGGCTGGTCAGTTGAGAACTCAAACTTGGCTACCTTCTCTGGGATCTACCCTTCTTTGTCCCAGTGGATGGTCCAATAGGCTGGCTGAATCCTCAGTGAGAAGCCAGATGGAGTCACCCATACCTCTGTCCTTGGCCTTGATCTCAGACCCTTGCCTTGGCCTCTGGGTATTTGAATGGAGAGGATTGAGAGTTTGTCGAGCTTTGCTTCACAGCAGCACATGAGGCCTGAATGGTCACTCAAGGCCTAGCTCCTTGGGTATTTGCTGATGGCCTCTTCCAACTCAGATTGTTCAGTGGCTATGCACTCCCTGAAAGCAAGGCCAACGCCATTGGTTCTCACTGGAACTCTAGTATTTGACCTTGAGCTGGTGAAGGTCTGAAGGTAGACTCTGCTTGAGAGTATGCACATGAACCTTCTGTTCACTTCTGATGGCTGGTTTGGGCACATGTCACTGGATTGAAGCCTCCCGGGGATTGGTGGGGGGGGGGGTCCTCATGTATCTGGCTCACTATTTCCTGCCCAGTATCTCATATGAGAAAATGAATGAGTGTTTCTGTTCCCAGAGAGCAGTCAGTTGAAGTCCTTCTCATCATTGGACAGCCACTTTGGTCATGTGACCAGATACCATCCTACCTGCCGCGAAGGTGGTGCCTGCCCCGTGTCAGGGCTGGGCAGCACCTGCCCCTTCAGAAGCTCTCCCTTCTCTCAATGGCTTGCAGAAGGACCACCCCTGGAAGCGGGAGAACGTGAAGAGTGCCCTCATGGTGATGTACAGCTGCGTGTCCTCTTACTGCCACCCCCAGATGCTCCTCACCCACGTGGACAGCCCCATCACTGCCAAGATCGTCCATCACTACTCTAGCAGCTGCCAGGTAGCCCAGATCTGATGCCAGACGGAGGTGCTGTCCTTGAGCAGAGAGTCTCCCTGTGTCCCTCACTGGATGCCCCATCCAGGAAATTCCTATCTGGCCAGCGTTTGGAAAGTCTATTGCCCATTACAGAGCTGCCCTGTGTGCTTTTGCGGCATGCTGGGGAGGTGGGGAATGCCATCCCCTGAATGCTGGGTGGGTGAGCATGGGTCCTCAAAGCCACTGTGTAGGCCCCACCTCTTCCAAGACTCCTCTATTCCCTCTCAGCTCCCCCCTCCCTCTGCCCAGTCCCTTGTAGAAAGGTATCAGAAATGGGATTTGTCTCTAAAAGAAGATGCAAAGGATCTGTTTGGAACTTTCTTGGGATGGCAAGGAGGAGGAACTCAAAGATTGAAGTAAAAATGTATTATTTCTGAAAATTGCAGTCAAATATACATAATCACCACCCTCGTCACGCTTTTGAGATTCACAGCTCAATGACGACAGCTGTATTCACATGGCTGTGGAGGGGTCACTGAAACACTGCCTTAATGAAACATTAACTCCCCATCCCCCGCCCCAGCCCCCGGCAATCACCACCCACTTCCTGTCTCTATGAATTGACGACGCCAGGCTCCTCATGGTACAATGATGGTCCAGTTACTTCAATCACTTACTCTACCTCTTTGGTGGCACACAAGGCTCCATATTCTTGGTCACTGGGTGGCCCACTGAGCTTCGTGGCTGTCCTCAGGCACAGACAGGGGCAATGGAGGACTGGCATCTTCTGGGGTGCTGTCCTCTGTCCAGTGTCCCTCCCTTCTCCCTCCCCTAGGCCGACACTAAGTCAAGAGTAGAATGAGCAGGCTGTGGCCCAGAGCCCCGCCTTGTCACCGAGCCTTCTTCAGAATGGAGCCAGGGCGGGGAGTGAGGGTGGCCCCTGGATCCTGGTGGCTTCTCACACACAGACTGTCCTCCTCACCCTTGTGCTGGGCACAGGACACCAGTCTCAAGATGGCCTTCATGAAGAGTGTGGTGCAGGTCACCAACTCCATTAGAAGCATCAAGGACCTGGAGGACTTCCAGTTTTCCCACAAGCCAACTCTTACCAGCCTCATCACAGTAAGCCAGATGGGGTCCTCAGACGCGGGAGGTGTAGGGGTTCTAATTCTCCACATGATCTCGAGTTGAGCTCACTGGAGTTTCTTTGCCCCTGTGGGACAAAGGGCCACAGAGCCCTCCCTGTTCCCACTCCTACCTCGACCTCCTTGTAGTTCTCGAGACAAGTTTTGTACTTGATAAAGCGTTTCATAGCCAGGAATGAGTTAGGAAACTGGGTGGAAGTGCAGTCAACTTGGACCTGGTGCTGTCCAGTAAACAGAGGCCAGTAAACAGAGGTCCACTGGGTGGCCAGCTCTCGCCTGGGCTGTCTGTGCGGGAAGAACTTGGGGATTTAGGACACAGTGATGATCTAGAAGCAGGGTTTAGACAACATTGGCACAAATATTGAGCAAAGAGTGGGGAGCCCATGTTTCTACTGCTGCCCTCTAACCTCAGACCACCCCATTCTTGGCATTGCTGCTGCCGCCTGGGGCCTCCTTCCAGCCAGGCTGGAAACAGTCACTGAGAAGCGGGCCGGACAGGAGGCAGCAGGGACAGGAAGGTTTGTGGGCTCCCACTTTGGGCCCCGAGCTATGTACATGTGGTTTTCCTTGAGCCTGGCCCAGCTCTGTGAAGCAAGCGTTGTGTCTTATGTGAACTGAGGTCCTGGGGCTCGAGCAGGAGAAGTGTGTGGCCAAGGACACACAGCAGCTAGTCACTGATGGCCCTGAGCAAGGAGCCCCAGCCACCCTCGGTCCCTTCTCCTTACTGTCCTGTCGAGGCCAGAGCAACCTGGAAAACAAGAAAGAGGTGTGGGGTGGGGAGCATTTGCTAAAGGTCCAGGTCATCCTTGTACTAACACTGGAGGACAGCTGCCATTGCGGTCAGTGTCAGCCACCCCTTCTGGCCTCTCCTGACCTCTGGGCGACCTCCGGGCAGGCCATCATCAAAGCAGAACCGGTGGACCATCTGGTATCTCCTGTGCGGACAATGGCCATAGACGCCCTCTCACACCTGAGGTGAGCTGGACCCCTGCTGGAGCCCGAGTGCCTGATGGCGATGGGGACTGTGTGTGAAACCACCCTTCCACGCACCCTCAGCTCACAGCCCCACTTCCCCGGCCACCTCTGTGGCAGCGCCCAGGGTTGCCCCTTTCCAGCCTGCAAGATGAGCTCTGCTTCTTTCCAGAACTCTCAGCAGGATGTGAAGTTGGGTGCTACTCCCTGGACAGGGAGGTGAACGGCGTTGGATCATCTGTTCCCGGGTAGATGAGCTGAGGGGTATTTTGAACATGAAATCACTACGGTGATGGTATAAAAGCATCGTAAGGAGACAGCATTCCTGCAAGTTGGCTTGGCCTCAGCCCACAAATTGAATGCTATTTATTGATAGGTTTATAAAAGGTGTTATCATGCCCGAGGGTGGACAGGGAAAAGGGAAGCAATTATGTATTTGTTAGTGTTTGGGTCACCTTTAGCACACCTCATGATACCAGAAGAACTATTCCTTAGGTGCTTAGCAGAAGCTAAGTACTTCTCTAAGAGGCAGCAAATGAAAAGATTAAGAACATGTTCACTCTTCTCAGCTGAGTGTACTGTTACATGCTGGATGCTGAGCAAGACCTGGTCCCAGCCCTCCAGAGACTTGAAAAAAAAAAAAGACAAGCACGCACAAACAGTATTAGAAGTTAGAGTGGAGTGAGAAAAAAAACATGCTGGTTAGGTAACCTTCTTGCCACAGACAGCCCCAAGTCCACTGGATTACTGTGATCTGCCTTTGTACAGCATGGTATCTCCACAGGGGTCACTGCTGGAGATGGCACTCTACCTTCGACCTGGGCTTAAACGGAAGGACTAGAGTTATTTAGAAGTTAGGGCCTGCTGGTGCAGTGCGGTCTACAATACCTCCAGGCAGGAGGAGTGTCAAGTTAAGATAGGATGATGTCTCTCAAATCTGGACCACCGTGGAACCACTGGGAACTTGTAACAGAACCCCTATCCTGGTCCCACGCCAGGTGGTTTTATATAAGGATTGCTGGAGCTGGGAGGTAGCCCTTGGGAGTGCACAGCTTCCCAGGTGACTCTAATGCACGGCCAGGCTGGGCAACTTGATGAACAGGCATGTGCCATTCGGCTAGCTGTACCCATGGAGGTTTATGAAAACAGGTGGCTGAGCTCTTCCTCCAGAGGCTTTGATTCCGTCCGTCCCAAGTGAGGACAGAAGTATTCATGGCTAATCCATGCCAAGGTACAACAGCTGCTACTTGAAAACTCCTGGACCAGAACCAGCCTGGGAGGGGAGAGAGAGAGGGCAGATGCCTGGCTGTGATCGGGGAGGAAGAAGATTCACAGGCTCACAGCAGGAAAAGCAAAGGAGGAAGTAGTAGGTAGATCCAAGTAGGCGTCGGATTCCCAATCCTGCCCTGGTGCAGCCCAGGTGCAGCCCTGGTGGCCGTCACTGCAACACCCCTGGCCAGGAGGTGTGCCTGAACCCCCAAATGAGAGAAGTCAGCCGCTCGCTGTTCTGCAACAGGGCAGAGAACAGCAGGGGCTCAGCTCCCTGGTGACACGCCTCCTGTCACTGCCTCTTTCCCCAGCACACTGAAGCCTTTCTACTCCACAGAGGAAAGCAGCGAGCTGATGGATATCAGTATACACTCTGTAATTTCTCTCCAACCCCCAGGAGAAGACAATGAGTCCATTAAGGTAGGTCTCTCTGGGCCTCCTCCTTTGCTGGGTAAGAATCTGGAAGTTTACGTTGGCAAACACAGTTTCCACATTCTTAGTTCAAGCAGTAAGTGCAAGGTGGTGCTAGGTGTTATCCCATAATCCCTGAACCCTGGGTGGTTTAAACAGGCTAACGTTTATTTTTCATGCAAGTCCAGTCATCAGTGGACAAGAGCAGGAGCTGTTTCATTCAGTTGTCCTGGGACGGGGGGTGGGGGGGACGGAGCTCACGGCTGCCCAGCTCTCTTGTTTGGTTCCAGACCCTGTATGCGAATGCATTTTGCTCTCTGGAGAAGCTAATGGAGAGCCTCCTGCAGAGGCAGCCTGACCCCAAGGGGCTCCAGGACATGGTGCACGTGAGTGACCTGGCAGAGTGTCCAGAGCTGCGAGCGGCAGACTAGGGGAGCACTGCAGCGTTGTTCCAATTACACTTCCACTATGCTGGAAAAAGAAACAGCAAGAAGAATACAAAGACCCCCTTCACCCGTATTCATAACTCTTCATGCTTTACCACATTTGCCTTGCCCATCTTCCTTGTGCTTGCTCCTTCTCTTTACACACACACACACACACGCACACACACACATGCACACACACCTTTGGGAGCATGAGAGGGTACTTGCAGACATTAAGAAAAGCACATTCCCTTAGTTTACAGATTACAACCAAGCAGTGATCACAATCAGGAAATCTGATATGGGTACATGCTATGTGAAAATCTGAGATCCATGTTCAAACTTGTGTCTCAACACCATCCTCAATCACAGTGCCTGGGACCCACTCCCGATGGGCATTTAGTTGTCTCTTTACTCTCCTTGTAATCTGGAACAATGGTGCAGGGTTGTTTTTTTTTTTTCTTCATCTTTGCCAAATCTAAGGGTACTGGCTCATGTGTTTTGTTTTGGTTTTGGTTTTGATTTGAGTTCTTTGCTTTTTTACTAATTAATTTTTTAAAGTTTCATATATTCTGAATATAATGTATCAGTTATATGATTTTCAAATAATTTCTCTTAGTGTCTATGGTTTGACTTTCTTTAATTTTCCAAGGTTGTACGTGTGTGTGTGTGTGTGTGTGTGTGTGTGTGTGTGTGTGTTCCAGCAGTATGACTTGAACTCTGAGCTTAGGCCCTGCTCCTTAGCTTTTTTGCTCTAGTCTCTATCAGTTGAGCCACAGCTTCACTTCCAGCCTTTCTGGTGACTAACTGTAGATTAGATCCTCATGGACTTTCCTGCCTGAGCAGTGAGGATTACAGGTGTGAGCTACTGGCACCCAGCTAATTTCCCAGAAAATAACTTTTTAATTTTGATGAAGTTTAAATTTTCTTCTATGCTCATATTTTTAGCGTCAAGCTTAAGAAATTGTTCCCTAATTATGACTTTCTCTTACATTTTGTTCAAGAAGCTTTATATTTTCAACTTTCACATTAAATATATATCTTGAGTTGAGTATTATATGATGTGAGCTATGGATAAGTTGCTTTATTTTGATGCTCATAGATAACCAGCTGTTCCAGCACATTTGCTGGAAGGACTATTCTTCCTCCACTGAATTACCTTTGCAACCAAGTGATCATGTATGTGGGCATCTATTTCTGCTTCGTTAGTGTGGTTGTCTATCTTTACATTTTTAGCTATGTTTCTTATTTATTAAAATGTTCTTATTAAGTAATTGTATAAAGAGCTTCTGTCCTATAGGTCAGGCTGTAAGTACAATGCATCTTGATCAATGTCCCCCCTTCCATTGCCAAACTGTCTTGACCACTGTAATGTTATAATAAATCTCAAAACCAGGACTAGATCATGAAAGTCCATAGATGTTTTCAGCATTTTATAAATTCTTTTTTTTTGGGTCCAGTTGTGGGGCCTGACTCTGGGCTTGAGTGCTGTCCCTCAGCTCTTCAGCTCAAGGCTAGCGCTCTACCACTTGAGCCACAGCACCACTTCTGGCTTTTTTCTTTTTGCTTATGTGGTGCTGAAGAATCGAACCCAGGGCCTCATGCATGCAAGGCAAGCACTCTACCACTGAGCCACCTTCCCAGCCCCGCATTTTATAAATTCTTATTGGTTGTGTTCTAATTTAATTTTAGTTCAAAGTGCATTTTAACTTCCCTCATATTTAGAAATTTCTAGGACTATCTGGGGAGTTTTTTTTCCCAGCAGTCTTTCTGTTTAGGATTCCTAATGTATTTTATAAAGCTTTGTTTTCTGAGGACATATTTGATATGCTTTAGATCCTTTTTAATGGATTGTGACTGTGTTTGTTGCCCAGATGTGATCTATCTTGGTAAATATTCTATGTGTACTTATTCAGAAGTTTGAGGTAGAATGCTTCTAAATCTCATTTAAATGAAGTTGATTGGTAATTTTACTTCAAGTTTTCTCTATACTTTCTGATTATCTGTCTTCTTGTTCTATCACTTATTGAAAAAGAGATACTGAAGTCTCTGACTATGGGTTTGTATATTTCTTTTTCAAGTTCTCTAATTTTTTATTTTGTGTATTCTTTTGTTATGTTGTTGAGTGCATACACATATAGGATTTCTATATGGCCTTTTTTTTTCTTTTGTTGGTACTGGGGCTTCAACTCAGCGCCTTGAGTTTTCTAGGCAGACACTTCACCATTTGAGTTACCCTTGAGTCCTTTCTTTCTTTAGTTATTTTTCAGGTAGGGTCTTGTGGCTTTGTCCCGGACCAAACTTAGACTGATCCTTCTACTCATCAGTAGAGCTGGGACTTAATAGAGGAGTTGCACCAAACCCAGATGATTGATTGAGATGGGATCTTACTAACATTCTTTTTTCTGTTGGCCTTAAACCACAGCTCTCCTGACCTCTGTCTTCTAAGTAGCTGGGACTACAGATGTGAGCCACCACACCCTGAGTTTGTTGTGTTTTCTTTGTTAATTGGTCCTCCGTTGTGATGGCATGGTGTGTCTTGATCCATAGTAGTGTGTTACCCGGGTTTCAGATGTTCTGGCAAAGTATCTGAGAGAATCTACCTAAAAGAAAGAATGGTTCATTTTGGCCCATGGCTTCAGATAGTTCATTCTGTGGTTGACTGGCTCCATTGCTTTCTGTGTGACAAGGCAGAGCTTCGTGGCAGGAATTCCTGGCAGGGGGATCTGTTTCACGTCCTGGCTACTGGAAAGTAGTGGGAGGGGGGAGAGGAGAAGCCAGTCCCATCAAGAGCACATCCTCAATTACTCACTTCCTTCTACTAAGCCACACCTCCTAAGGTTCCTCTGCCTCCTGACAGTGGCACGGGCTGTCAATCAAGCCTTCACCACAGGGCCTCTGGGGACCATTTAATACCCAAACCATAACCGTGATGTTCCTTGTTCCGAAGTGAACTTGGATATTATTAGAGTGCCTCCCCTCACCCCCAACTCCTGGACCATCAAAGGGCAGGGTGGATGGGGTTCCTGACACATATTTGGAGCCAAGCCCAGCACCATTCTGGTGAGGTGGCTTTAGTTCCTCTTTCTCTACCCATGGCCTCATCTCTCTCCTGGGAGGCCTGGGAAGAAGGCCGGAAGCATTTTGGTGCAGTGGCATTGGAGGGCAAACTGAGTGGGAGGGACCAAGAGGCAGAAACTGCCCAGGGCTTATTTTAATGCCTGCTCCTGTGTTCTGGGCTCTGCACACAGCTCTTGGAGAAGTGGATCTTGTCGGAGAAAGAATGGGAGCGGGAGAAGGCCATGCACCTCCATCTCCACCTCATGCAGATCTATGTCCAAACTATCGGCGTCTGTGTGAGTCCGGTCCACCCAGCCCCAGCCTCCTGCAGATGTGAGAGGAATACTTCTCAGATCAAACCCTGCCCTGAAGAGTCCCTTAGGAAGAGGCTGTCTTGAGCAAGGCAGGGCCGGGGAAGAGGACAGGCTAGAGAGTCGATGTAGATCAGGTTTTGTGGGGTAGGAGGCTCCTGTAGAGGTGGAAGACCTCTGAAAACACAAAACAACAAAAAACCCAGGCCACACAACTATGCATACCACATGGGAAAGAAGGCATTTGTTTAGAATGAGATACTGGATCACTACAAAGTCACTCATTTTACATGTCAAAGTACCATAGACATGTTTTTCTTGATTCACCGGCTGATGGCTCCGGAAGTCTCCTTTCCTGCATTTGTTGGGTGTATTCCCAGTGCTTTGACTTCAGGGATGGCTGTGCACTGGAGGCCAATGGCATCGTGGGGGTGGGGTGCGGGGTGGCCTCGGCGTTCAAGGGTGGTGCAGTAAGACCCTGGAGGACCTGAATGCGGGTGGGCGGAAGGCCGGCCAAGCGCCAAGCGAGCCAGGACGGACACTAAGGGATGCCGGAGGCCACGTGCCGAGGCGAATGTGCTGCCTGTATGCTCCGTCTCCCTGACAGAGGCACGCTGTTACTGACTCCACTCCACAGACAGGCAGCACGAGACACTGAGAGGTGACCAGGCCGCTCAGCTAGTGCTGGAGCCCAGGCCTCAGTTACAGAGATGAGGCAGTTTTCTGGACATAGAAACAAGACCTGAGCTTACAGCAGGGACCCCGTAGGCAGGACCCCTCCAATCCTGGCAGATTGGCCTCCATGGGACCAAACGTGGGGTGGGGGGAGGCTGGTGCCTGGGTGGGAGGCAGCAACCTCTGTGACCCCGAGAAGTGTTTTCACAGCAGAGCTCATTTTCCCTTGCTGCCCCTGTGAGGATGAGGATGGGGGGTCAGCTCTGGGGTCTCCTGTCCCTCAGATCCCCCTGAAGCTGGGACAGTTTGGCATGCTTGTTGGACTCATCGCCCCGTACACCTGTGACACCCACAAAAGAACCCGCATCACCTCCAGCAATGTCCTGTCCAGCCTGCTGGAGCTTCACGGTATGGGAGACGGGCTGTGAGGGACTGGCACCGGGGGGCAGTGTGGACCAGCTGCTGCACGTGAGAGTGGCCTGCTTGTGTGGGCAGGCGAGGGCACAAAAGAGGGGTTGGCAGAGAGGCAGACAGACAGACAGACAGAGTGAGCAAGTGACAAGAGAGAGACAGAGACAGAGATAGAGACAGAACAGCAAGCAGGAGAGCTCAACGAAAGGCTATGGAAGTTCACAGCAGGAGAGACTCATGGCTTCTGGTTGATTTTTGTGGACACATGCTAGATAAAGTCAACTCACAGACATCAAGAACTGGCCAGAGCTGAGCCTGAGGGAGCGTTGCTCCCCCAGCTGAGCTGTGGGCAGAGCTGATCATGTTCAAAATTGTGTCTCCAACAGTAAGCCAGACCTGCTCCTTATGGGGCGCTTCCAAGGAGAGGGAGCTGGAGAAATGCAAGGAGGACCTCTGGGGCACAGACACAGAGACAATTTTCTGTGCCTCCTCCAGAATCGCCAAGGTGATGATCGACTGGTCTCGGGAGGACATGTCTGAGCCATCTCTTGGGGTCAGGGCCCTTCTTGGCTGGACATCTCACATTCTCCTTTGGGGAGGTCCCAGCCTTTGCGATCCCCAAGGTCTGTGCACTGAAATGGCCCATACCTGGTCAGGTCCCCAGTGGCTGGCACAGACGGAGGTGCCAAGCACTCCGTGGCACCCTGGCCCATGGATCCAGACAGCCCTGCACAGGGGCTTTGGCACGTGGGTGTGTGGAAGGTGCACTGAAGCGTAGGCGTGCCCAGTCAGGACTTAGCAGGTGCCACCAGGTTCCTTCAGCCTCGGGGGCAGAGGCAAAAGACAAGTGAGAGGGCGCCGGGGCTCGGGACAGGCAGGCCATGGGCTGCAGAGTGAGGACAGGGAGTGAGCCCAGCAGGGGCGGCAGGCATGAGGACGGAGAGGAGCTGGGGAAGCGGGCTGAATCTTTGTCACAGAGGACGAATGTCTGAGCAGAGCCAGGATCGGGACAGTGGGTGGAGGCTGGACGGGGAGCCCCGCGGGGCCATGGCCCCAGTATCAGGGCCACCTCGGGATCCGTCCCAGGTAGAGCCATGAGATGGGGAGGAAGCGGAGGAGTCAGAGGAGGGCCCGGGACTTGGCTTTGCTCTGGCCCCAGGTATTCTGCGTGGAGTTGAACTGCGACGAGGTGGTCGCACTCATCCAGAAGCTCTGCGAGAACATTGGCGCCATGGACCTGCAGCACGACAAGGCCGCTGTCACCTGGATAGGCGTCCTCCTTCAGATGCGCGTCAAGGAGCTGGAGGACAAGGTGGCAGAGCCCAGCAGGGGGTCGCAGAGGTGGGCTGGGGCAGACAGGTGTACCCCAACTCCCGCTCCTGCGGTACTCGCCGAGACCACCTTCCCTCAAGCCATGTTTGCTAATGAGGAGGAAGGACTAGAGTTCTAGAAGGAGAAAGCAATCTGCCCAATTGTGACCTGGTCAGTAAGAGGATAGAGAGCAGAGGCCCACCCTCCCCCACGCCAGAGACCCAATATATGACTCCGAGGAGGAGACCAACAACGTGTGCTGGGCAGCATACTGGCCATTTAACTTGCCCACTGTCCTCCCTGGATGAGGTATGTCCCACAGGAGTGCCCCAGTGACCCCTGCCGCCCTCCCAGGTGGCCGAGGTCCTAGGAGCCATCCTGGTCCACTTGCCGGTGGTGGACCATGTGGAGGTGCGGCAGCTCCTCATCGAAGGCATCCTCCTGCTGGCATTCCACCACCGGGAGACCGTCCTCACCTCGCTCCTGAGGCAGCCCCTGCCCATGGAGAGGTGGGTGTCCTGCGGGCGGCAGGCAGGCCTGGGCAGGCTGGGCCGTCCCTTGTCCCCACCTGGAGATGGGGCAGAACCCAGCCCTGTGTCTTGTACTGGAGGTGCCTTCCCTGGGTGAATCACTGATTCCGAGCCCATCACTGTACTGAATCTGCATCCTGCCCCTCTCCTGTCTTGGTTACCCACTCTGTGTCAACTCCCTGGGAGTCCAGTACCTTCCCTTTTCTTCCCTGTGGGGAACAGAGCCCTGGGTGCTTAAACCACAGTATCTCAGACAAGCTTTGGAGATACTACAGCCTGTCCCACCAGAGGGTGGAAGTGACTTGTCTTATGCCCCAGGAGATGTGATGGCCCAGTCTCTAGTCATGGGTACCACCATCCCGCCCTTTCTTGCTCTGCCTCTACAGAGAGCACCAAGCTCCTCTGTGTGGGCAGGAGGTCCCCAAATGTGGGGAGTGGGTTTGGGGAGCTGCTTCTCACAGGGAGCCCCACTAAGAGTCCAGGTGAGGGGCTGGCAATTGGCTGGTGAGTTACCAAGGGATACGGCCTTAGGAGCAATCTGGGGTGAGGGGGGTCCGTGTGCAGTAGGTACATTCCCAGCCGTGTACTGCCAGCTCCTGCTGCCCTTCTCAGCCACATCACACTGGCTTTCATTTAGTTCAGCAAAAGCTGTATTGGTTAGCGATCACTGTGTAACAAAAGTTACCAACTTAGTTGCTTTGAAGGACTCTCACGTCTTAGCTAACAGTTTTTGTGGGTCAGAAGCCTGGATGGGACTTAATCTGGTCTTCCGGTCAGGGTCACAAGACAACTGAAGTGTCATCTGTCTGCATTCTAGACCCAAGGGCCTCCCCCCAGACTCACGGGGCTGCTGGTAGAGTGTCTTGCTGTTGTGGGGGTGAGGTTTCTGCTTTCTTCACTCATTCGACCATTCCCCTGAGGTCACCATTCCCCACCCCTAACTTAGTCTGTGGATTCAGGTGGGCAGTTTGCTGGTGCCAGCGTTGAAGCTGTAGCCCTTTAAAAGCTACCAGACTCTGGAGCTGTGAAACTGGCTTGGCGAGTCTCCACCCTAGGGCATTCTCCTCTCAGCAGAGCCCTGGGCTTGGGTTGAGGATCAGGAGGGCCATTGCAGGGGACAGATCTCGGCAAGGCATAGTGCGCCTCTTGTGGCATATGGAGAGAGAAATACCCTTCTTGAAAAGTGTGCCAGGAAGATTAGCTGAAAGAGCATCAGTGTGTGGCCTCAGATGCCCCGAGGCAGTTGGATGTCATCCAGTGTGGGCTGGGTGGGGACCTGGAGACCACCTACCCAGGGCCTCTGCGGGAGAGCAGAGGTTTTGCAATGGCAGCTGGGCCCAGAGGCAGGGATCTGGTCCTGAGTCTGTGATCGGCAGTGGCTCATGCACGTCACCTTCTGAGATGCAGCTCTCAGAATTCAGTCGGGGGCTAGCATGAGGGCCGCTCACTGGGGCCTGTGGCCGGACCGGCACGAGGCCACCGTCCTTGTGCCTGTCTTTGGCTAGCCATCTGAGGCAGGTGTGGCTGGCGGTGGCGGAGAACGCGCCCTTCGCAAGGACCATGCTCCACGGCCTGCTGGACCGGCTGCAGTCGCGGTTCGCCCCCAAGGTGAAAGCCACCTCGAAGGCTGACATCTGGCGCCTGGCTGCAGTGGACCCTCTGATGGTGGGTTGCAGGGGCAAGCCCCTGGCTCCTCAAGGGTCTGGGGGCCGGGCCCTTTGATGCCCCTGCGGCCCTTCTCCCTGCAGACCCAGTGTGCCATCTATCTGCTCATGGAGAAGATGGACAAGGATGACAAGTTCGCAGAACTGCTCCCCGACCTCATCTACACCTTCGTGCTGCATCTGGGCAGCAGCCACAGGCCTGAGGCCGCCTCGCCGGTCCTGAAGACCTGGAGACTGGTCCACACGGGGGCCCTGCCCGAGGAGATGAGCATGCAGAGGTGCACGGGGCAGGCGGGCAGGCGGGAGCGGGCTGTGGCGTGGCCAGCAGCGGCTCAGGCCGTTCTCACTGGGTCCTTTGGAAGCTGCTGCGGCCCCTGGGTCACCTCCCCCTCTGGGGGCTGGTGGGAGACTCATTTCAGTCATCCCCTCTCCTTCATGTGTGTCCAGGTGGTGTGGTTTTTCAGTTGGCAGACCCATTGCCTTTCACGGGAGGCCCAGCAGGTGGCAGCCGCCTCACACACACCACTTCTTTCCAGGGTCACCATCAAGTGCATGAAGCTTCTGTTCAAGAATGTCAACAGCAAGCTCCTGGCCAAGGCCTTGGAAGAGCAGTCTGTGTGGACCTTGCTGGAGAATGAAGGGACCTTCCTGGAGGGAGTGAGCCTGCTGGCCAGGTGGGGCCCGGCTCTGATGAGGGCAGAGGGCACAGGGCAGAGGGCATGCGTAGAGGCATGTCCCGGTCACGGAAGCCCCTGTGAGCACCCCAGCCAAATCCCTCAGTTCTGGGGTCCCTGCACTCTGGGATGGCAGTGCTGTGCAGGACAGCAGGCACCTTTGATTCCGTCTCTCCTGCTCCAGAGCAGGAGATAGGAGGCCAGAGAGGAGAGGCCAGCCAGGGCCACACAGCCGAGCCAGGCAGGATCGGCGGCTGTGACTCACTGGGTCCCTGTCGTAGCTCAATCCTCAGTTCTGGTCCCCAAGAAATGGAAAGTATTTCACTGACAACTCCCACCGAGGTTCCTGGGGATGAGGAAGAGGCCCAGAGATGTTTCGAGATCTCATGGTCATCCCGCAAGCTGGCAGCAGACCCCCGAGCAGCAGACTGGAGCTGGGGTGACCCCGCTGACCCTGGGCCACCCCTTCTCCCCTTCGCAGGCTGTGCATACAGAACATGGAGGTCCACAAGCGGAGGCTGTCGGAGCTGGTGCTCGGGGGCCTGGGTTCTGAAATCCTGAGCTGCCGCGTGAGCAGCACCGCGGTCTGTGTAGAAGTGAGGTGCCCGGACCCGGTGGGGGGTGGATGGAGGGGGGAGGGTGTCCCCTGGACCCATCTCTAAGGGAGGCATCCAGACTCTAAGGGACATGTGAGTGTGGAAGGCAGGCCGGTCCTTCTGTGAGTACAGACACCTTCCTGCTTTCATTCACTCACTGCCTGACTTAGTACAGCCGGGCGCTACAGGGGAAATCGCGGCTGAGGCAGCCCAGCCCAGAGGTGAAGCAACCGGAGTTATGCTAATGTGAGTGGGGCTGCCCAGAGACCCCGAGGAGGCACTGCGCTCCGGCAGGGCAGGCTCTTCAGGAGGGCTCCGCAAGGTGGAGACCTTGCCGGCCAGGAAGGCGGCCACTTGGCCCAGCTATTCTAGCATCGCTACAGTCCTCAGGAGAGCGGAGGAGTGTAACTGTGCTGCTGTGTGGAATCCAGCGTTTTCTGTGAAGGGGTCTCACTGTCCATAAACAGTTGTCAGTATTTATTTAGGAGACACAGCCACACAACCGTTTGAAAGCCAGCAGGCATGGCTGGGGGACACTTCCTTGGTGGACAGATGCTTAAACGTCTGTTTCCACATGTCTCTCTTTAGATTATTTTCCTCCACCACTTACAAACATGAGAATAAATCTTAGCTTTGCAATGTACAAAAGCTCCTGGCCTCTGCACGACCAACCAGGAGCCATGGTCATGGTCCCCTCCATCTCCGTGTACACCCCCACAACAACAGCAAGGCGAGATTTACACTCGTAAGTGGCCAGCAGTTAGAATGGCCCAATGACTGGCCAGGCTCTGGCCTGGGGGAGGGGAGACTTGTTTCTCACACCACAGCTGGGCAGCTCTGAGTTCCTCAACATCTCTACCTTTAACTTCTCCCTGCTGAAACCAGAGTGGCCCAACCTCCACAGTAGATTGGATAGAACAAGATAAGCTAATGAGTAAGCGAAGGTGCTCAGTAAGCTCTCACTAGTGGCTCACTGACTATTGCTTTTCAAACATTAGTTTCAGCTTTTAAGAAATAAATTCCTTGGGGGCTGGGAAGGTGGCTCAGTGGTAGAATGCTTGCCTCGCATGCATGAGGCCCTGGGTTCGATTCCTTAGCACCACATAAACAAAAAGAAAAAAGCCGGAAGTGGTGCTGTGGCTCAAGTGGTAGAGCGCTAGCCTTGAGCTGAAGAGCTGAGGGACAGCGCCCAGGCCCAGCGTTCAGGCCCCACGACTGGATCCAAAAAAAAAAAAAAAAAGAAAGAAAGAAATTCCTTTAAGGCTTCAATTTGATGAGAATTTCATTTTACTCATTTTACCAGTTCTGATGCTTGAACTCAGGGACTGGGTGCAGTTCCTGAACTTCTTATTGAAGTCCAACACTCTACCACTTGAGTCACAGCTCAACATCTGGCTTTTTTCTCATTAATTGGAATTAGGATTCTTATGTACTTTCCTGCCCAGGCTGGCTTCAAACTGCAATCCTCAGATTTCAGCCTCCAGAGTAGTCAGGATTATAGGTGTGAGCCACCAGTGCCCAGCTTAATGAGCCTTTTTATACACTTAAAATTCATGCTGAGAAGTTAGGACTTGGTCCCAAGGAGCATGTAAAATGGGGCGTGGTTGCTTCCCGCCAGTCTACCTGGGCCTTCATAGGTGCTCAGGAGGTGCTACGGGGACAGAGAGGCTCAGGTGGAGGCTGGCGTGAAGGCTAGCAGGATGAGAAGCAAGGCGGAGACAGCACCTGGGAAGGCAGAGCCGCCGTGCCCAGAGGGCTTCGGGCGCTGGGCTGGGGCTGGCCGCTCGGTTAGCTCGGTGCTCTTGCCTCTGGAGCCACCTACTTGGTGTTCTCTACTTTAAAGCACACTTGGGCATTCGTGTGTGTGTGTGTGTGCGCGCGCGCGCACGCGTACATCCCGCAGGTCTCTGTCACCCTGCAGTCTTGGCAACTCTGTGTGCCCGGGTGAGATGATGCTCTGAAATCCATGGCACTCTGTGCCTCTCTGTTCTCAAGGCTAGCGCTCTACCACTTGAGCCACAGCGCCACTTCCAGCTTTTTCTGTGTATGTGGTGCTGAGGAATCGAACCCGGGGCTTCATGCATGCTAGGCGAGCACCTTTCCACTGAGCCACCTCCCCAGCCCCTCTTGTGCACTTTTCTTCAGACATGGGTGGATGAGGCTCTTGCTCCATATACTAATGTCAACAAACCCCAGAGGACAAGTGAGTATGTATCTTTGTGCAGGCAACAACAATCTCGCATTTTCCTTACTGGTGGTATATAACAATCACGAGGCAGGTATGGTTTGGTCCTTCGGGTTCTAGAGGAGGAGGCCGAGGCACTGGGCCCTCTCTTCTCCTGCTCAGAGCCACCGTTTTGCTCATCATCTCTGCCCCTGACCCCCTGTCCACTTCATTGCTGAGAGGTGGGCCTCCGTTGGGGGTAATTGTAAACATGCTCCCTCTTCTAGTTGATGAGCGATTCAGTTCTGCACCGGGAGAAACTGCTGAAGTCTGCGGTGCTGACGCTGGGGCAGGGCGTGGACCAGGAGGAGGACGAGGCCCTGCAGGTGCTGTCTCTGCGAGCTCTGGGCAACATGGCCCTTGGGGCCCCCAAGAAGGTACCGAGTCAGCCCTGGCCCATTTCCTGGGGGGCTGAGGCCCCCATGGGTTAGCAAGTGAGCAAGGCGGGGGCTGAGCTGCCGGGGCCCCTGCAGGTGAAGCAGCACCGCAAGGTCTTGCTGGAGAAGTGCCTGGGCTCCCTGCGGAGGGCCCCGAGCAGCTGTGTGGCCGCCGAGAGCATGGAGGCCCTGACCAAGATTCTGGCCGAGCTCCGAGAGGGCGACATGGGGTCTTCATTTGAAGCCGTCTGTGAGCAGTGCCGGGGTTTCTTTGACAATGTGAGTGCAGAGGAAGCCTTCCTCGGCGTCCTAAGTGGGGGTTTCTGATGCTATAACAAAACACCCGAGACTTGGAAGTCTACAAAGCATGGAGGCTGGCGTAGCTCACAGATCTGAAGGCTGGTGAGGGTCTCAATGTTGCCTCATGTGGTGCCAGATTGAGTCTCTTCTTATAAAGCCACGGATCTTCATTACCTCCAGGGCCTTCCCCCTGCAGTGCCATCAGCGGGTGGCTGGGGGGAGAAGTGTCTAGCACTCTTTCCTAACTCTTAGGGGTCACATTCCAACCACAGTGCTCAGCTTGCTCAGTGCGTGAGGGGGGCAGCGCCCAGCAGCTCAAGAAAAGAATTGGGCTGTTGTATTGTAGAATGAGCTGGGGTTGTGGTGGTTGGTGGTCGCACCTGGTTCAGGTGTGCCTTGGCGGTCACGAGATCTCTTAAACTCTGTCTTGTGCTAAGTTACAGATAATCAGTGCTGTTGGATCTGAGTACTCCTGAGCTCAGGCCTGCTAGGCAGGAAGTGCTCTCTGAGCCAGTGTGTACCCCTGGGGTCCCTGTGGCGTCTGGGCCTGGGTAGGTGCTAGGATGTGTTCAGAGTCAACACCAGCTCCTCTGCAGGGAGGGGAGGGCCCCAAAGCCCAGTCACGCTTAGTCTCCCCAGTGTCATATGAGTCGTGTGGAGGGAGATTCTACCCCCGTGGAATGATCCAGGAGGCTGAGCAGGGCCCACAGCACTGACAGTGGTCTGTGAGGAATGCCGGGAGGCTGTGCAGGACCTCCGCTTCTGGAATGTCAGCCTGTCTACACTCTGGCCACAGGAGAGCGAGCTGCTGAGGCTAAAGGCATTCACCCTCTTTGGGAAGCTCGCAAAGGTGGTTGGGATTTCCAAGAAGCATTTCTTCAAAGGCGAAGTAAAGAAAGCCTGGATCGCCCTCATGCTACACTGCCAGGACCCCTGCTCCAGCACAGCCCAAGTAAGACACACCCTGGTCCTCTGTCCCCACAAACAACCAGTCCTGAGGGTCCTCATTAGTCTTTCCTGGGTGCCCAGTGGCCACCAGCTTGTCCCAGCTCACATGCAAGCTGGGAACATAGGGGCCATTTAGGTGACTCCCAAAGCAGCTTATTAAGCAATCTCAGCTCTGTGCAGAAATAAATGTGGTTTCCTTTTGCTCCAGTGATTGCCTACAGCCATTCTCTGCCCAGTCCTCCTTCCTTCCAGACGATTCTATACCTTGCAGACTAATACTGCAGGACTTTGTCTGGCCACTTTCCCCCTCCCTGTGGGCAGGTCCAGCCGGGGCTGCTGGGAGTGGAGCCTCGGCTCAGCCCCCCTTGCTGTGGGTGGGTGGGGCCTAGGGCCCTGGAGAGCAAATGCTGGCTGGGAGATGATCTCGTGGGATCTGCCGTCCTCCCCGAGGCTCCTTGCCTCCACCTGGCCCGTGACCACAGCGCCTGGCTTCTCCTTCGCGAGTAGGGCTGGCTAGCGGGGAGGTGGCTGGGCTTGGGGTGTTCAGTCTCCTCCCATAAACCTTGGATGGAAGTGGCCCCACATACGTACTCCAGTCTTTCAATGGTGCCTCAGTCCCGGTTCTGGGGACCACACATGCTTACACCCTACCTCTCTGAAGTTGGGATGGGGGGTGTTGGGGGTGGGGTGGGGTGGATGTGGTTCTGGCAGGGGTGAGGGGTGAAGGGCACTCCCCACACTGGGGTGGGCTCTCAGGAGTGACAGGTCAGCACGTGGTGGTTCCCTGGTGGCTCCCACTGGCCTCCGTCTATAGCCACAGCGTTGTCTTGCTCCGTCAGTGGTGGGGCTGTGGGGTGCACTTCAGGAAGGGGCTGGAGGCACACCCAGAAGGGCCGCCCCGGGGCAGCAGTGAGGCCCCACAGCTCATGTTGTGGGGGACACACCCACCTTTCTCCAGCAGCCCCAGGAGCAGAGGCAGGGCTGGTAGAGTGGACTTAGAAGGATGAGGAGGTGCACAAGAATGCTGGCAGAGCTGGTCCCTGTCCCCCAGGGCAGCCATCTTGAAACAGGCAGCCCTCCCAGCAGCCTCCGGGCCCGCTCCTCTCCAACTGTGGAGGCCTTTCTGGGGCTGTCTCTGCCTAACTGCAGTGGCCCCAGCACTGACGCCCTTCCTCCTGCTGTCTGTGTCCTTCCAGGCCTGTATGGCCACCATGTTTCAGTGTGCGCACTTCTGGGGCTGGAAGTCCCTGGGGAATCCCTCAGCACGAAGCAACGCCAGCAACAGTGATGAGATGACGGTGTTCCAGACAACAGTGTGCTCCTTCCTGGTGAGGAAGCCTGGGTGAGGGCTCAGCCATCCCGGGACGGGGGGGGGGGCGGTTAACACGTTACCCAGGGGCCAGCCATCCCAGGGGCCATGAGAAGGGGGGGCATCCAATAGTGGTAGACTGCAAGCCACGTGCCGATGTTAAGTTGCCGCCTTCCAAACAGCGAGGAGGCCAAATCATGATCACTTCAGCACATGATAAAATTACTACCGCCACATACAAAGGATCATGATCTTTTGCGTTTCTGCAGCACTTGTGCTTAATTTGGACCAGCCAGGTGCCAGCGCTCGGGGCCGCGTGCGGCTAGCACTCACTGGGTGGGCCTCGTAGGCTCAGGACCAGTGTCACTGCCCCTCTAGAATCCGATGATGCTCTTGAACGTGCCCAGCTTGCCCACCTTGCTGTGTGATGCTGACATGAGTCCTTGTCTTCTCTGGGAAGACCCTGTCGGTGAAGGGCACTGGGGCCTCAGACAGCTGGCAGCATTGCCTCTGCCCACCTCCCAGATTGCATCCTCCAACGCTGTGCATATACCACTTTCTTTTTCCAGACTCAGAAAAAACCTGCCATTCTCTATGGCTTCTTGCTGGAAACAATGACGTATACTGAAAACAACTTCTCAAGAATCAGAATTGCCGCTTGCAACTTGGCAGGTGCATTCAGGCCCTCCCTGACTTGGTGGATCTTAGAGGCCATCTGGTCAACCGCAGGAGTGGATGGGGAGGGAGGGAGGTGACAGAGCCACATCCCTTACTACACCATACCTGATCTTGAATCAGGCTCCTCCTTGCCAACCTTGGCTCCAAATCCTTGAACCAGCCTGTCGCAGACCTAGGAGAAGGGTGCACCCGCTGACCTCTGACCTGTGCGATGAGTGTCTCTGGTTTTTGCCTTAGGGATTATGATGAAGCAGATGTCTACCTCCTACCTGAAGCAGCTGGACTTTGAGGTGCTGCGGAATGGTAAGTGGCTGAGGCTTCGCTCTGCTGGGTCCATGGCTTACAGGACCTGGGCGGAGCTTGGGAGACCTTTCTGCAGGAAGGACGGGTGGCCTTGTGCTGGGGGCATTGAGGAAGAGGGGGAAGGTAACCAGGCCAGGAGATGCTGCACCCGGGGAGGATGGGCACTTTCTGGGAAGACAGCTGTTTGATGCGTGGCTTCTACATAGACCTGCAGTCCTGTGTGTGCATGTATGCATGTAGGTATGTATGCACATACGACGGATGACCTTCCTGTCCCTGTCAGTTGTAACTGAAGCCCTGGAAGCCCCTGGCTGCCCATGTAGGCTCTGGGTCAGCACGCGCCACCCCAGGCAGCGGCTGCGTGGTCCTGACCGGCCGGCCGCTTCCCTCCTCTGTGCCCTCAGCGCTCCAGGAGCTGCAGCTGGACTCAGACGCTGGGGTGAGGAGGGCGGCCCTGGAGGCGCTCAAAGTCCTGGACAGCTGCAGTCAGCGCGGGCTTGTGGCTGCGCCCACGAGTGTCCCGAGCGATCCAACGTAGGACAGGAACAGCGTCCTGGAGCAGCAGGTCCTCCCACAGCGACACAAACCCGTTTTTGTAGGAAAACCTTTTGAAAAGAACGACTATTCTTTCCTTATCTCCCACCGAAATAAACTTCCTTTGCTACATGGAGTGCAGGCTGCTGACCACAAGGGGCAGAGCACCCCAGAACCAGATGAAGGGGCAAAGGGCAGCCTGGCCCTCACAGGCCCCAGCTTCCTCGCTCTCCCCTTAGCCCACAGGGCCTGGGCCTCCTCCCGCCCTCCTATGCATCCTCACACAGGGCCGCCCCACCCATGGCCAGGGGAGGGGCAGGGTAGCAGCCCCAACAGCAAGGCCCTCACAGAACGGCCCAGCTAGCGGCCCTCCAACCCCAATGGAGGCGCTGAAGGCAGCACCAACGGTCGGGGGTGGGGGTGCTTCAACAGAGGGAGCTTCTGAATAACCCAGAGCACCCACAGCAAGCCCTCTCTACAGTGGCGGGTTTTAAGACAAATAGTGAAGTTGTTTTTCTGCCCAGTGATGAAGTTGTAGCCGCCAGTGAAGCTTGGAGCACTGGCCGCTCAAAACCTGTGTACACCTGGGTGTCCAGGACACCCTTGTGGTGGAGCAGAGCGGAGCAAGCCCCCGAGGACTTCCCTAGGCTGCTCGGGAAAGCAGCAGGGCTGAAGATAGCTAAGCACCCCTGACGCCTAAGCCTGGTTTTCCCTAAAAAGTCAGTCAGAACAGTAAAGGGGTAAGCGCTCTGATTAGGTCAAGTGTAACTTCTATGCAGTACAAAACCGAATGAACTACAGAGGGGAGGGGATCCGTAGAGTGGGGTTGGATCTGGATTGCACCCACACTGACCAGAGAAGCACTAAGGGTCCTGGAAGGACCTGGAAAGAGCCAGGACCCCAGGACGGCATACCCAGCCTCATCATGACAGCGATCTGGCTGGAGACGAAGCCGGGGGTGAGGTCTTTGCAAAGAGGTGGGACAGGGAAAGGGAGAAAAAGCAGGGCCAGCGTAGGGAACTCTTCAAACGAGAGCCACGCCACCCACCAATCTTGTCACCAGCACAGAATTACATGGAGCCGGGTACACTGTGGGGTTAGCTCACCGCTGTGAAAATGCAGCACGGGGCTCTGTGAGCGCTTCTCACTACAGGGCGAGAACTCATGGGAGGAAATAGGAAGCTAGAGCCCTGGCTGGGGCCCCAGCCCGGGATTCCCGCCCATGAGAAATCCCATAATCCCTCTGGAGAGCAGAGCTCTCCAGGCTAAACAGCTCAGTGGGTGCCAGCTTTTCAGGCTTCACACTACCTTCAACACTGCCGTTCTGGAGACTAAGCTTGCCATACATGAACTTTTGGGACTCAGACCACAGTATCCATGTACTCCAGCTCTGGTGGAACGCAAACAACAAAGCTGAGGCATATGCACCGTTCTAAATTACTTGTGGGAATTAAAGGCAGAGGCCTTTGCATAGTTACTAGCAAAAGTTGGCCAAGACCAAGGTAGAAGGTGAAAAGTCTCTTCCAGCCTCCCCGGCAGCTTGGTCTGGACTGGCCAGAGAACTTGTCTATGGGGCATGATGGGAGGTGTGGACCAGGCCTTTATGGAAGGGATGGATTGCTGCTAGGAAGTAGCAGGCTCAGGAGAAAGGTGCCGAGTTGGAGAGGCTGTCCCCGCCCTGGCTGGATGCCACACAGTCCAACGCCAGCTTGCTAAGTGCACCCTGATCTCACATCTCCAGCCCCTGAGGAAATAAGCCTGTTGCTTAAGCCACCCAGTCTGTGGTATCTTGTTACGGCAGCCCAAGCTGACGCGCACACACTGACTATTGAGGTGGCTCCGGCTAAAGCCATGTGAGGGAAGGAGGAACAGCAACCCCAGGAGAGCCATCACCGAGGAAAGGAAGGAAACAGACAACTCCATCTATCACTAGCCTTTTATTGAAAAGAATTCATAAGACAGAGAGCAGTATGTCCATAATGACTCTAGATGGCTGACACAGGCATTTTTTGTCACTGTACACGTGAACTATTTCATTATATAGGTCCCCGTGGTACCTGATTACAGAAACCAACAGGTATCACAGAGGCAGTGTGCCGGGGGTGTGAAATGCAGCAGGTTTGCACGGCCGCAGCCGCTCGTTAGAAACTCCATCACTGATGTTTCACCTTGCTGCCTCGTGACGTGGACGTGAAGACAGTGCTCTCCCCGTCAATGTCCGGCTCCGTGATGAGGGCGCCCTAAACCAACAATACTCCAACAGGAAAGGTGTGGGGGGGGGAGGGTACTGTCTAAATTAGAAAAAGAAAACAGAAGAAAAAGAGGCCTACAAGAGCGAACATTAAAAATGTGCATTGAGCAAGTTCATTCCCCTAATTTTTAAACCAGAGAACGGTGACAATGTGTTTCCCTGGATTTGCTCCAGGACAGGTAAGTCAATAAAACCGGAGCAAGAGGGCCAATGCTCTAAAATAACCTGGTGATATATTTGGTTCTAGCTTTGAATTTTTTTAATAAACATCATTTTTCTCTTCCATCTGGAGAGATGTGCTCTTCTTTTCCCTAGAAGAAAAAGAGAAGGATTTCAGTGAAATTCACCGGAACTCCCAGGTCAGCCTCCAAAACCTTAAATGCATGCACCTAAATAATGTGTCCATTGTGGAAAATGCCATCATAAATGAAGTTGCTGCTGGGTGCGGCTGGTTCTCACCTATAATCCTAGCTATTAAAGAGGCTGAGGATCTGAGGGTTGTGGTTCAAAGCCAGTCCTGGCAACAAAGTCCCTAGGAGACTCTTAACTTCATTTAACTACTCAAAAATCTGAAGTGGTAGTAGTGCTAGCCTTGAGCAAGAGCTCAGGGACAGTGCCCAGGCCCAGAGTTCAAGCCCTATGACTAACAAATACAAATGAAGGACCCGAGGCGTGATTCTTCACTCTTGCCCTGGGTGAGCAAGGCCCATGTTCTGGCCCCACCTACAGGCATTTAGAAGTTACTGGACCTAGACACAGAGCTGCCTCTTGCAGAACGGACATCCAGCAAGTGCTCACACCAGCCACTGACCTTCCCCTGTAGTCCCAGCTTGAGATGTGGTGCTCTTCCCCAGAAATGTAAAGCACCAGTAGGGAAAGGAAAGTGTAGGACACAGTTGCGTGTCCACACTGTGGTTTAGCTGGAGTGGGAGAAGCTCCTGGAGGGCTACACCTGACATCAAACCCCAGGGGCATCACGAGGGGCCGGGGCACCACTGGCAGGGCTCTCTGCACGGCCCCCCCCCTGTGCCACTGGCCATGACTCAGTGCAGGTCACTGTATAGCTGAGGTCGTCTCTTCACAGCTAGGCAAAAGCAGGTAAAAAGCAAGGAGGCCTGCACTGGTGTCAAGGCCCAAGAGATCTGGAGGGCAGGAGATGGCGCCCTGCCACAGGACAGCAGGGCAAGGGGCAGGCAGGGTGGTGAGGGGGAGAGAGCACTGTGGGAGAGTTAAGGTGGAGACCCGAGGCGCAGCTGAGGTGTGGGTGGGCGGGAGAGATCTCAGGTTATCCTCAAGTGACCAGAAGGTATGAGGCTCTACTTCTGTCTGAGACCAGGACTTGAACTTAGTATCTGATGCTTTTGTTCACTGTTGGTGCTCGACCACTTGAGCCACACCTCGAGCCCAAGCTCTGCTCTCCAGGTCATCTCCACGGGGCCTCTGTCTCAGACGGGGCTGGGCTCTGAGACCTCCCCTCTGGGACTCACTGAGCTGCAGCTGGGGGAGCTGAGTGGGCACAGGGGTGGGGAGGTCAAGACCAAGACATGGGGGTGGGGTGGGGTCCTGCAGGGGCAGTGCCCTGGGAATGGGGCCTTCCCAGGTCCGGCCCATCCTCCTGGGTTCCACAGGGGTCTCACCTGTGGTTCCAACCCTAGGAAAGACCTTACATCCATCCATAAGCAGGGAGACAAAGGATGACACAAGCCTGTGTGCATTGCTTCAGCCTAGCCCATGTAAGAGCTTACACGCGGAAAAAAATGAGGAAAATGAAAAAAAAAACCCAAACCCTGGAACTCTTAAGAGAGCTCAGCGAAGAGCCTGAGCCACAGACCCACCCTGCCCACAAGGGTGGTGGAGCAGCACCCCAAGAGGAGGCTGCAGGAGCACAGGGAGGGCTCGAGCCAAGCCTGAAGCAAGTGCTGAGGTGAGAGATGCCGTGAGTGCCCTGGAAAGGACAGGGCGCTGGGGACAGGTGCAAAGGGACGTGGGACAGTCACCACGTGCCCATGCTCAGCACTGCTGGACGCAGGCAGAGCAGGAAGCGTGAGGGGGCAGGAAAGAATCCAAGACACAGCTGGGGTCCATCCAATAACACCCACCGGAAAGCTGCCCACTGGGACAGCTCTTAACTGGGAAGAGGAAGAGGGCTGTGAACACTGCCTCACCTGCCCAAACTACAAACAAACCCACAGCCAGTGTCCCAGCTAGGGGGTGAACCAGTGCAGTTAGTGGAGACGGCTGGTCTAACTAGGCTGGGGGCAACTCAAGCTGGCCGGCCTCTCCATCCCGTAGGAAGTAAGGGAATGGGCGTGGTGGGCAGCCAAGATTCCATGACAAGGGCTCTGTGACCACAGACAGATCAGGGCCCATGTCCAGAGCCTGGAGGTATGTATGCTGGCTGCTCTGCTCTGCGCAGGCCAGGCCTGCCCTCCTGCCGGTCTACTTGGAATCAGAAAGTAGACAGAAAGTCGCTATTTCCAGATTAGTCAAGGCAGCTATTTTCTGAGTAAGAAAAAAGGGTGGACAAGATGAACAAAGATTATAGGGTAGTGATGCTCTTTAGAATCCTACATGCATTGCAATGGAAAAGATGCAATACTTCTCCCTTTAGGAGGTGCTATAGCCGGGTGCTGGTGGCTCACGCCTATAATCTTAGCAACTGAGGAGGCTGAAATCTGAGGATCACAGTTCAAAGCTAGCCCCGGTAGGAAAGTTCGTGAGACTCTTATCTCCAATAAGCCACTAGAGAACTGAAAGTGGCCTGTGGCTCAAGCAGTAGAGTGCTCGCCTTGAGCTGAAAAGCTAAGGGATAGATAGTGCCCAAGCTCAGAGTTCAAGCCCCACGACAGAGGAAAAAAAGAAAAGGAGGTGTTGTACTGGTTCACTTCCGAGTCCTGCAGGGATAGGGGTGTGTCGTGGCCTGGGGTGTGGGCAGGGCTCCAGAGAACGCCTGCCCAGCACACAGGAGGCCCCGGGCTCCATCTCCCAGCCTCCTGGCCCATAGCCTCGGCCTCCCTGGAGGCTGTACACATTTCTTGTAGTAACACAGTGCCTGCTCTTACCAGGGAGGGCATGAGGGGTCTGTCCCCTCTCCTGCAAAGTCCTGAGGTTTGGCCTCGGGGTATGACAACCTGCGTCTCTTCGTAGGGTGCAGAGCGTGTTCTGTGGTGGCCCACGCAGTGCCCCAGGGACTTCGTAGGCACCACTGGGGTGACGCTTTCAACTTTTGGAAACTCAGGAAATCTACCCTGGATGTTCCTGAGTCTCTTGTTTGGCGAACTTCCGCGCGGGTGTTGCCCGGACGTGCCTTTGCCTGCCGTGGTGAGGCCTGGCAACACTGTTGATGAAGCTTGTCAAACTTTTCTTTGATCTCATTGTAGTGGCTCCTTCCGCCACCCAGCGGCCCTGTCCTTGGTACTGAACTAGCCTGGGTGGGTGACGCTGCCTCACTCAGCATTCTTGAACTGGTTCTGGGCAAAAGGTCAGATGTCCGCCAGGGGCGGTCAGGGCTCTGGAAGGGGCGGCCCTTTGAGACAGGAGAGACGTCACTCCGGGGGCAGCTGTTTGCTTCACATCTGTCCACATTCCCAAAGGCCTCACTTTGCCCTTTAGCTCTTGCTTGGCTGAAAGGTAAACTTAGCCTGTGGGTCTCTAAGGCCCGGGGGCCACCTGGGCTTCCAGAACCCCCTCTGTACACATCCACAGCCCAGGCACCCGGGGGGCTGGGCAGGGGAAGCTGTTTCCTGGGATACAGGAGGCATTCCCGATGAAGCTTGGTGAACTGGATTTCAATCTCCCTAACTCGGTGCTCTCCAAGACCCTGTTGCGGTTTTGGTCTGGAAACCATTTTCACAGGGGAAATTAACCACATCAGTGCTCTAAGTCTATCCTCGCGATCCCCAAGTTTCCTGTGCATGGGGCTGCCAGCTACATGAGTCAGTGAAGGCACCTGGAGCTCCTTCCATGTTGGATCGAATCTGTGGACCTCATGTTTGTTTCCCTGAAGAAAAGCGCTTTTCAACTTCAAATCTGTCATATGGCGAGCAACGTGTGACAAGTTCTTGCAGCCTATCAGCACGCCCGTGTCTTTCCCGGGCTCTGAGCTGGGTGCAGCCCTCTCCTTGGGGTTCCTCCGGAAGTGCCGGTTGCCGTGCCAGCCCATCTCCCTCATGGGCACCCTGCTCCGGCGCGGGGGCCTCTTCCAGTGCTGCACGATGGAGGTCTTGGTGGAGATGATGCTCCCCGGCTTGGTGCTCAGCAGCCGGCTCATGGAGTGCAGCATGCCTGCGTACAAGTCGCTGATCGTCACGTTGCAAATGTCATCGGCCTCAAAGGACTGGCTGCTCAAGTAGCTGTTGCTGCTGGTTCCCAGCAAGATGCTGTCATTTCCGGGGAAAGATGCTGGCGGTGCAGGGTCACTGGGGCTTCCTGCAGATCCTCCCTGGCAGGGATCTGGGAAACACATAGAATGAAGGTATGTCAATGGTTAGGAGTTTTTCCACACCCAGAGCATGAAGCTAGAAAGCACATACATGTGTGTGTGTGTGTGTACGCGTGTATGCGCGAGTGCACCCATGCATGTGTCCTGGGGCTTGAACTCTGCAAACTGCAATCCTCAGATCTCAGGCTGAGTATCTAGGATTACAGGTGTGAGTCACTGGCACCCGGCTTATGACTGCTTTCAACAGTATAAATGACCAACTCAAAACCTAAACAAATTTTAGGAGTAGACTCTTTTCAGAGATTAGATTTTTACTTTTCATCCTTTCTCCTCAAAGGTGTCCTAACCCTGGCTCTTACAAACTAAATCAAAACCTGAGCACCATGACCCTATCTACCTGCAGTGGAGACGGGGAAGGGAGGGATCGGGAACACGCCTCTTCAGATGTGCAGCTTCAACTTTTCTCATATGAAATGCTTTCACATGTTCTTAAAAAGCAAACGCAAGCCAGGGAGAATGGAAAAAGCTCTGTAACTAGATGCAAACAGGAAAATGAACCTGGCTATCAAACTTATAAAAGAAAAGAATCCAAACTATCTTATGTAACACTGCCTGTGCTCCTTGAGGACACTGTCTAAGGGCCACAATGGCCAGCTAGAATGGGGCAGATGGACACGGACGGACGGACACACACACACACACACACACACACACACACACACGGAATGAGGGCACCTATCCTGTGGAGAATGCCACTTCAGAATGTAATGCAGAGGAATGGCAGAGAGAACACATCTGGGCTGTAACCACCAACAAAGACAGTCACCAGATGTTCCCAACTGTCTCTAGGGAAAAAGCTCTTGTTCAGAGATGTTAGGCAGCTCTTCCTTGGCCAGGGCTCAACTTCACTGTGGCCGACCACAGCCATGCTAATGGGCAAAGAGGACCCAATGCCACCTTCCTAAGTGGTATTTATTTTAAAAATGTTTACCACAAATCTAACTAGAAGGAAACAATCGTGAGTCTTAATCAAGGGTTACTGGTGGAAACGATTGGCCAGGTTGAACTGCTGTTTTTGACACTTGGCCTGGAAGTGAAATCTGATTTCCCTTGAGGGAATTTGGTTATAGCATGCCCAGCCTGGGGGGACTGAGCTCATCTAAGCAGAACAGAGGGCCCCGTGGTTCAGCCGGAGTGACAGACAGAGGCGCGCGGTTCCCTTGAGGTTTCCGTCCCCACTCACCGGGGGCGGGCGCAGCAGGCAGGGCCCAGGCGGGGGCCGACATGACCAGGATATCCTTCCCACTGTGCGCACCCTGCAAGCAAGACCAACCATTACAAGAGCGGCTGGACCTCGAGACCCTGGGCGCGTGGAGCTGGGCTCTCTCTAGACCACATGGTGTCCGCGGGGACGGCGTCGGGAGCTGCGTCCCCAGCAGGGCAGCACTGCCTCCCTGACCAGACCCCGATGAGCAGACAACATGAGGTAACGGTGCTGAGCTGCCAGCGTGAAGCAAAGGTCCTCGATGTGGCACACTCATCACCTGGCCACAGTGACCTCTCCTCCAGGAGGCGGGAGGGGGGTGGTGTTGGCCCAACTAAAACATCTTGGGCAGCTGGACAGTGAGCGAAGACCTGAGAAGCCTGGGCCTCGTTCCAGTCTCTTCCCGTCACCCGCCCGCACGGCACATGAGGACGCCGCCTGCGGTGCTCAGGGGAAGCGGGGGTTTCAGGAGGGGAGGGGAGCACGACTCCCAGTCCCCACGACCCTAAATGGAAGAAGGCTTTACAACCGCCTCACTGCAGAAACGGCTCCTCCCACATCTTCAGGTGGAGGAGGAACAGGAGTGGCAGTGGGGGCCCACCCTGGGGAGAGGGGGTGTGGAGCAGGGCGCTCAGGGACAGAGGCTTTGCCACTGGTCACCCAGGATGGTGGAGCCCCACACTCACTGTCTACCAGGCTGCTCCGGGAGCACGGACAATGGAGGGCCCTGCCTCCCCCATCCAGGCCGGTCCTCCATGGCTCAGCCCCAGGAGACCTGCAGTGCTCATTCAAGGATAGCACAAGGGTATGACTATGGACAAGTCCCCCAAACGCTCTGAGTGGACAGTACCCCAAACCACGACTGTGCTGGCCTCACTGTGCCCGCCCTTTCTGACGCGGTTCTGGGGGTACGCACCTGCGGGTCCTCTGCGCCTCGCAGCAGCAGGTCCGCCTGCGCCAGGTACTTCCTCCTCAGCTCGTCTTTCAGGGGGCTCCCGGGCACTGCCGGCTGCAAACAGAGGAGTCAGGGGGGAGGAGGTCCACGACTCTGGGGAATTCTAGAACCAACTGGAAGCTCTTTAATGCACGCATCTGAAAGGACTGTGAGTGCTAAGTCACTTTTCGGCCCTTGCTATGGGTGGTAGGAAGTGGCCGGGCACGGGCACCCTGTTCCGGAGGGGTGACCGAGGCAAGTTCCCCAGCGCTGAAGGCCCATACCAGACACGGCCCAGGACACTGACCACAGCCTGGTAGAGAACAGCAGCGATGGAAGAAAGATGAGCTGAACACCGGTGGGAAAGTTCAGGAGTCAGCTATTAGTATTAGCCAGCTCTCAGCCATGCTCACTGCACTCCCGAGTCAGAGGCCACACAGCAGGAGACGGGCCTGGCCCTCAGTGCTGGGCAGCGGGGTACAGCCACGGACCACTTCCAGTAACCTTTCTTGGGGTCTGTCTCCTCTTTCTAAACAGTAGAAGTGACACAGGAGGCGACGGGCAGCCTCTGCGGCAGGACTGCGGAGGACAAGCAGGCCCAGGGGTCCCTTTGACACTGAGGGACCGAGTCCATCGCCAGGACCGACATGGGAGACCAGAGACCCAAGCATGGCAGCAGCTAGAGTGGGCCCTGGAAGAGGATTCCAGAAAGGCTCGGGGATACTGCCCCAGGCCGCACCGTCTCCCAGAGCTGAGGCCCTGCCACTGGCCACCCGTCCCTGACCTGACCTCAGGTCTTACCATTAAGGGACCAGCCAAGGACTCCTCCGAGTCAGAAGAGGCAGACGCGTCACTGCTGTCCGCATCTAAGAGTCAGAAAGGGAAATCGCAGCCAGAATTTGCAGGAAAGTCCACACGTCTCATTTTAAGGACAGTTTTTCTATCAGCCTGTGTTCTATAGTAAAAATCCTGTCACTTCTGGAATGTTCCCCTTAAAAGAGGAACCATCACTGGCCATAATGGCTGGTGACCCCGGCCAGGGTTGGTTTTCAAGGGAGCTGAGGCCAGACACAGGTTCCTTCCTGGAGCCTAGTTGAAAGGGACATGGGGAGATGTAGCAGGGGGATTGGCAGGGAGAAGGCAAGCTGGCTTCAACACTGATGGGGGCACCGGGGCGGGGCGGGGCTGGAGGGACTGTGAGAAGAGACAGGGTCAGTCCTAGGCAGTGGCGGCCTGAGGAAGGGGAGGAAGAGGCTGAGCAGGCAGGAAGACCATCTGCAGGGGCCTTCCCCACGTCCTCGTGTCTCACAGAGTCTGGGCTTTCTTAGGCTTTTTGTGACAAGGTCATGCTCTGTGCCCCTGGAGAGTCTTGAATATGCAACTCTCCTGCCTCAGCCTACTGAGTGCTGGGATTATAGATATGAACTACTGTACCCATCATGAGATTAACCCTTTGTCAAAAGGGAATATGTTCATTTATTCAGGAAATATCTGAGTACTATCTGTGTGCTAGGCACCTAATGTCTTTATCCGTTCAAGAAGACAGAGAGTGTTAGTAAGGAATCTTATCTTCAAACCTGTAACACACTGGTACTGACCCCATCCCTTCTAGCCTCTTTCCAATAAGGAGGCACTCACCTGTTCTCAGGACCTGCAGGTGACAAGGCGAATGCTTGCTGCTTCCGGGTCCAGCTTGTACAAGGTCCTCTATCTGGCTAACCACCTTCACAGGGGAGTCCTCCAGGCGCAAAAATCAGTGAAGAGAAGCGTGTTTGAATAACATCACACTTGAAGCCACTGTAAAAACATACCTGCCACCCTGGCTGAGGATGGGAGGCTTTGCAAGGGCTCTCTGCTTCGAAAAGGGCCAAGACTGGGGAGGAGCACAGGTTCCCCTGGGCAAAGCAGTAGCACTTTCTTCCTGCACCTCCTGCTTTCAGTCATTGGACAGGGAGGGGGAAGAGGAAAGGATGACGGGGGAAGGGACAGGAGGCCAAGTCAGGACCCGAGGGTCAGGGATGAGCTCTCCCACAAACTAAGGTGTGACCTTGCAGAGCTGAGGAGTGGCAGCACCGGATTGGACAGGTATGGGGACGTAGCCAGTTCTCCCAAGGCCCCTGCTGCTTGGTAGCACTGGCTCGGAGTGATCCTCCCTCACGGCCTCCCCCGACTCCACAGCAGTGAGCTAGGGATTGCAGGAACCGTCAGCCTGGGGGGGGAGGAGTGCCAGGGCGAGGTGGATTTGGGCCCAGACCACACCAGTGAAGTTGTGGGCAGCCATACTATACTCACAGGAAACCCCCGTCTTTCTACTCCTAAGAGAGGGACTAATAATTCTGTAAGTGCCAGGCAGGGGCTCACCTACTTTGTAAGCAAAAACCTTAAATCAATGTCCAGACAGAAACATTCTGCTACCAAGACAACCACCATAGCCCCGGCGTTATGATCAGGTGCCACACCATGTGCAAGTTAGAGGGAACACATCCTGGGGCTCCCAATCCCACACTGAGCACAGGACCCAGGATGCTTCTGTGAGTTCTACATAACAAGGGCAAGTTGTTAAGAGCCACGCACACCTACGTATTGGCGACGGCCGCTTTTCCTTATCACAGGGCTGCAAAGCCTGTAATAACTACTCCTGATCCTGGGCAGAAAGAGCACGCAAGCCCTGATTTATGTTAAAAGAAGGTGCAAAGGGCCCCAGGCCTACAACAGAAGAGCAATTCAGAGAATGGAACCGGACTACACAATGGATGATCAACACAAGGGCTGCCCTCCTGTAAGTAAAGGTGAAACTGTATCTATTTATAAAACACGTGTGCAAGAAACACAAACTAAGAGGCGCCAGTGACCTTCTGTGCACAAAGGTCAGCCTAACATTAAGCAGTTCTACATATTTCTACGGCTAAAACAACCAAGGTTTGATTGCAGGGTTGCTGTTAATGTTGTATAACCTTAACCTCAAAGTTTTCATTCTTGTGATCATGAGGAGGAAGCATGGGTCATTTATTTGAGAACCTGGTGTCAAACAGGGTATTAGACAACTTTGCACTAGCTATGTGAACAAATGCTGCTTAACAGGGTCTCACAGTAAGACGGCAAACCACATGGGTGCCACCTGGGAAACAAGGGCAGATCACGGGCTAAAGAGCCCCAGGGTGACGGTGAGGATGTAGGACTTGTTCTCGAAAGGTAGACAAAGGCAGAAAGAAGCAATCTTGCACTCCACCTGGCCTGTCTCTGTTCTTCCCCTTTTCAGAAGAGGAAAAGAGGCATTTTTCTGTCCTCAGAGGAATGGAAAACATGAGCTTGGGCTGGAGCATGCCCTGCAGAACTGGCTCACTCAACCTAAGAACGTAGGAACTAGCTCAGGCAGCCCTGGGCCCTCTGACAAAGAAGCAGAACCACAGACAAGCCAGGCAATAGAAGAAATGTTTCTTCCTAAATCCTCAAACACAGGTCATCACGCTGAGCAAACCAGGCCCCCCGAGGCTTCCGGCCGGTCTCAGCAGACCTTCCAAGGCCCAGCACACCAGTTTCTTTCCCACCAGAACGTCGCCACAGCCCAGCATTTAAGTGATACAATTTGGCACTAAATACCTGGATTGGTTTTTTCTTCTTTTCCTTTATTAGCCTTCCTCCCCAAATTCTCAATCCTTAAGAAACGAAAACAACAAGTTAAATAATCTCGAGCATTCCATTTTGGCTCAACCTGCATTCACAGAGAGCCAACATGACAGATAGTAAAAGGATGTAATATTAAAAGCTGTATTTCTGATAATCATCAGTGCACTCCTGATAGTCATTGTTCTGTGCGGTTGTTCATCTTTGTGAAGCAAGTTTTTAAAAAATCAAGGTTTGGCTGGGTGCTGGTGGCTCATGCCTGAAATCCTTGCTCAGAAGGCTGTGATCTGAGGATCGCGGTTCAAAGCCAGCCAGGCAGAAAAATCTGTGAGATTCTCATCTCCAGTTAACCACTAGAAAACAGGAAGCGGTGCTTTGGCTCTAAGTGGTAGAGTGCTAGCCTTGAGTGAAAAAGCTCAGGAGCAGAGATCAGGCCCTGAGTTCTAGCCCCATGGGGGCAGGGAGAGGGGGGGGAAGAGGAGAAGGGGGAGAAATCAAGGTTTGACAAAGTTGTCATTAATGGCAGCCTTCCTACTTAGTAGGCAACAGGTCATCAGATTTTATCATTAACTGGAAACGTTAAACAAAATGTACACACAGCAGATACTGTCCTTAAAATATCACTTATTTAGGGCAGAATATAGAGTAAGCACCATCAGCACTCTCCATAATGCCAGGAGTACAGTGCTTTCTGAAGGCAATCTGTATAGCAGGATGTGTATAGGGCAGGGCCAGACCCAGGGCGTGTACTGAGTTCTGGGGTCCAAGTGTGACTCTCCTTGCTACCTGCTAGCACATAGATCCTGGGTGATCTATCCAACCTCTTCTAAACTTCCTGGAAAAATATGTTAATACGAAAGGCACTTATAATGCTCTGGGTTCTAGTGTAAGTCTTTTCCAAATACCCATCTTTTTTTTTTGTCGGTCATCGGACTTAAACTCTGAGCCTGGGCCCTGTCCCTCAGCTATTCAGCTCAAGGCAAGTGCTCTACCAACTTTAGCCACTATGCCACTTCTGGTTTTATGGTGGTTCCTTGGAGATAGAGTCTCACTGACTTTCCTGAGTGGGCTTGGCTTTGAACTTCAATCCTCAGACCTCAGCCTCCCAAGTAGCTAGGATTATAGGCATGAGCCACCGGTGCCCAGCTCCAAGTATACATCATTTTATACTCAAAACCCACCCCCATAACACGTTATGGGGCAAGGATTTATCAAGTTAGTTTTACTGATGAGCAAAGGCAAGGAGATATCCAAGCAAATGATTAGACCAGGCCACCTGTCTGTGTGGGGAGCCAGGATGAGAGCTGTGGGCAGCGGTGACTCTCTGGTATTCTCATGATGCCATGTAACCTTTCTAGAATGGAGTGACGCAGAGTATCTGAGCTCACAGTCCAACCAAGGCTTTGCCACTTGGGATTAGTGACACGAGGCAAATTAAACTTTCTGTGCTCTACCCAGAGGTTTGTGAGGATTTGATTGGTTCCTACCTTTGATTGGCATGAGAACATGGAATAAAAAGAACATGAACTATGTAGGGCAGAGGGTAAGCTGTTAATACCTGCCAACAACTACTCTTTCCCGTCTCCATCACAATTGCTGCGGTTAGTTCTGCTTTGCCTGCTAAGATGCTGCCCTGTTTTGTGCACTCACACTATTATGCACGGAGGGCCAGCACCATCTAAGTAAGAAAGGCAAGCCAATAAATGAATGTCTTAGGATAAGCAACAGGATATGAGCTACCAGCTCATGAGGGAATGACTTTTTGTACCTGACTTGCTTTCAGCAAATCAAAGTGACCTCATTCAGTGCAAAATGTTCTCCAGGCCCTTAAGCAGAGAGTCTCTGAGATGAAAGGTAGTTTACACAACTTCACCATTATGCCAAACAGCTGCTTCTGCATATCAGATACAGTAAACATGAAGACAGGACAAACAGCCAATGGCACTGGCCTCACACTTTCATTTAGCTTTTTGGTTCGAGGATGGAGCTGTACCACTTTGAGGCACAAGTCTACTTCTGGCTCTTGGCTGGTTTTGAACCTTGACCCCCAGATCTCAGTGTCCTGAGGAGCTAGGATTAGAGGCGTGAGCCACCCGTGCTGGGATCCCTGTGAATGTTTCCTGGGGCCCGAAGAGCCGCAGGCGCTATGTCCCCGAGACATCCACGCGCAGCGGACGGGACTGCCACGTCCCTCCCACCCCCGAGGAGGAGACACGGGCTCCCCAAGCCGCGCAGAGCACGCGTTTCCATCCCAAGTAAGTCAGTTCTAGTTTCAAGAAGACCCAGGAAAGGACTAAGCAAAGGTCATGGTGCTAGAAGGGCGGAGGCCACACCGAGCCCGGGGCCCACGCGGCCCGCCCACACCGAGCCCGGGGCCCACGGGGCCCGCCCACACCGAGCCCGGGGCCCGCCCACACCGAGCCCGGGCCCACGCGGCCCGCCCTTCCCGTCGGCCCTGCGGCTCCTACCCTGGGGGGTCTCGTAGGTCAGGGTGGCCATCTGCACCAGGGGGTCGTCCTCGAAGGGCTGGCTGTACTGCGGGGACAAGAGCGTCGGGTCAGACGCGGCCCGTCGGAAGCGGGTCCCCGACCCCGCGGTCCTCCCAGGCCCCGCCCGCCCGGCCCCAGCAGCCCGCGGGCCGGGAGCCCACCTTCTCGATCAGTTGCTGCATGCGCCTCTGAAAGCGGCGGCGGCTCTCCCTGAGCCTCCGCAACAGCAGCTCCCCCTCCGGGTCCCCGGCCCCCGGGCTCCCGGCCTCCATGACAGACGCGACCCCGGTGCAGACTCCGCTCCGAATCCCCCGCGCCCAGCCCGCGCGCGCAGCTCGAACAGGCCGCTCCGCCCCCTCCCGCTCGATCTCGGCTCTCTATTGGCTGGCGGGCAGAGGCCGGCGTTGATTGGGGCATTTCAAAAAGAGTTCAAGGCATTTGCTCCGGGCCAATTCGTGCTGGGCTTTCGGACCCGCCTCCCAAGGGCGCTTTCCGGCGGAAACGGGTGTTTGGGGGCGGGCAGAGTCAGAGGCTTTGGCTCGCCCTAGGGGGAGGGCTGGGGAGTGGGTCCTCCGGCCACGCCCTTGCGCCGCCTTCCAGCATCTTCCGGCCCTGCCCTCGGGGTCTGCGGATTGCTAGGTGCGGGGAGGCCGCCTTGTGGGCGGATTATTATAGGCTTGAGAACAATAGAATGGTAACATTTATGGGCGTCTTTTGACCAAGCTTGATAATGATAATAATAATAATGATCATAGTGATCATAGTGATGATAATTAATTTTGTGTGTGTGCCAGGCCTGGGACTTGAGCTCAGAGCCTGGGAGCTGTCCTGAAGCTCTTCCGGTCAAGAGTAATTAATGCTCTACCACGTGAGTTACAATTCCACTTCTGGTTTTGGTGGTTAATTGGGAGACCGGAGTCTCATCAGCTCCCTGAGTAGCAGCATTGCAGGCATGGGCCACTGGTTCCCAGTTATAATATGGGTATTTTTTATTATTATTATAGGCATCCTGACCAAGATTGGTAATAAGAATAATATAAAAGATTATTTTGGAAAAAGATCCCTGGTCATATGCAGTATACAGCAAATATACTAGGAGGGCAAAGGATTTAATGGTTTTAAAGATCATTTGACCCCAGTATTATGTACTAATGCTGCAAGCCACAGAATAAAGTGTGACTTACTGTATTTAGTGTGCCAGCGATCCAAAATCATCTCAACCCAAAAGAAAAGATCTCCTTTCCATATTTTGGCACCGTAATACAAAAGCTTGAACAGCAGCATTCACTATTGAATGATTGAGGAAGTGGAGGAAAGGGGTTGCTGTTGAAAGTTCTTAGTGCCATTGAGAACAATTCAGCGCACCCTGAATCAATTATGCTAGAAGATGAAAACATTAAAGACATTTTTCTTCCCCAAACACTAGAACATCATTGATTCAGCCTCTGGATTAGGGAGTAAAAATGCATTTAGTGTGGGGGCTGGGGAGGGAGGAGTGAGAATGTTGGAAGGGGTAAGGATGGTCTACAGTGATTAGGATGCATTCATAAACTACTTTGTAAGATTATGTAAAGATAGTAAAAAATAAAACCAAGACAAAAATGAAAGTAAATTAATCACTCATTATCATCTCAGAATAAGAGCATTGTGTGTGTGTGTGTGTTGGGGGGGGTGCCTTAAGGCTAGAGACACGTTCTAATGTTTGGGCAGATTCTACTGTCATGATGAAAAGCCACGGGCTTTGGGGGGAAATGGACATAACTGATGCCATCGCAATCACTAAGGAAGCAGCGGATTTGTTAAAGTCCAAGACAACTAGTGCCCGGAAAAAAAACAACGGTTCATGGGTTCTCAAGGTTACCACTAGATGGCAGCATGTGATGTATGTAAAGTGAATTGAATATGCAGAGGACATTTTTCTTCTTTAAAAAACTTTAAAAAATTATCTTTAAGTAGTTGTACAAAGGGATTTAAATCCAGCAAATCAGTTTATGATGCATCTTGATCAACATCACACTTTCATAATTCTCCATCTTTCCCGACATTTTTCTTGTGTTGAGTAGGTAGGGTGTTAGAATTTTTTAATATTATCATTGTATAGCATTTTACTGAATTTACAGTGCTGTATCATATTTATGTGTATATATGCATATGTACTTAAGAATCCATCTTTAGAATAATAAAAGAATATGATGGTGCCATAATAATTACATATTTGGGGAAATAGGAAATGGCTCTTTTGGTATTTGTGGTAAATCATGCTAGCAATCTTGTTTTCCTAAATAACCGCTTTTTATTTTTTATTTTTTTGGTCAGTCATGGGGCTTGAACTTTGGGCCTGGGCGCTGTCCCTCAGCTCTTCAGCTTAAGGCGAGCACTCTACCACTTAAGCCACAATGCCATTTCTAGTTTTCTAGTGGTTAATTGGAGAGAAGAGTCTCACAGACTTTCCTGACAGGGCTGGCTTTGAACCCTGATCCTCAGATATCAGCCTTCTGAGTAGCTAGGATTACAGGCATAAGTCACCAGCACCTAGATTATAATTTTGTTTTTAATCTATATTTATATAGTTTAAAATATATGTAAATGTATATGGGTTTTTATATATTTATATTTAACCATATATCTGTTTAAATATATTTATAGTTTAAATACACACATATATATCACACTTGCCCCTACATTTCTGATTGCAGACTTTTGTTTTTTCAATGCAACTAATCAATCATGTAATATTTTCTAGAAGGAATCTGTCTATCTATCTATAATATTTATTGTCAGGATTCTCTTTGGATGATGATAATCTGATGGATTATCTTCAACATTAGTTTTCCTTGGCCATATTTCCAGAACAAGCATTCTTGCATTACTCTTATAGATAAAAAAACAAAACAACCCCCCAGTAGACCAACTGTTGGGGTGCACTTTGTGTTGCTATAACACAGTACTAGAGACAGTAATTTACAGTGAACAGATCTTTATTCCTCCTGATTCTGGAGGCTGAGGAATCCAAGATCAAGAGTTTGGCCTCTTTCTAGGTTCTTCTTGCAGCCTTACCCCACATGGGGGGATGGAGAGTGAACATGAGGTGAGAGAGAGCAAGGTAGAACATGGCTCTTCCATTTCTAATGCCCAACTGCTCAATAATGACCTGAATCCATTCCCTTTGCCCTCTTAGCCTAGTCACTGTCAACTCTGTTGCTTAGCAGAAGTTTCAAATCAGGGCCTGGGCGCTATCCCTGAGCATTTTTTTTTTTTTTGGTCGGTCTTGGTACCTGAACTCTGGGCCTGGGCGCTGTCCCTCAGCTCTTCAGCTCAAGGTGAGCACTCTACCACTGGAGCCACAGTGCCACTTCCAGCTTTTTCTGCTTATTTGGTGCTGAGGAATCAAACCCAGGGTCACATGCATGTGAGGCAAGCACTCTACCACTGAGCCACCATTCCAGCCTCCCTGAGCCTCTTTAGTCAAGACTGGTACTCTATCATTTGAGCCAAGCTCCACTTCTGGCTTTTTTGGTGCTTATTTGGAGAGAAGAGTCTCACACAACTTTCCTACCTGGCCTGGCTCCAAACCTTGATCCTCAGATCTCTGCCTCCTAAGTAGCTAGGATTACAGGAGTGAGCCACGGGTGTCAGGCCAGAGTAAGTTTTCAATGCATGCTTTTGGAGATCCTTTAGAACCAGAACACCTAGTATGTGATTTTACTCAGGTGCCGCAGAGTTAGAGCCCATTTATCCAAATTAGACACATGTGATTGCAAACACCCTGCAGCCGCTAGAGTCGGCAGACACAGCTTGCAGCTGAGGACAGGGTGTGAAGCTTTTTTTGTTCTGACTGTGAGTGTGAAGTCTCATTCTACCCAGCATGGTGAGTTTCTGCTAGAGTTTGAGGCTGCAGGTTCTAAAGGTGCTCCCTTGGAAACAAATGTCTTAGGGCGTCTTCAGCCCTGCAGGGGCTCTGTGGGCCCCTTGTAGACACGCTCCTTCCCTCCTTCACACCTGTGGCCAGGTGAGTTGGTCTCTGTTCGCTGGGCCTCACTGCTGAGTTCGTTTTCTTCCCTGAGAATCTGTGACCATATTAAGTCTTCCTTTGGAATAATTGGGTCTAGATCTTTGCAGACTCTGGTTAGACTTTTTGGTTGGAAAATATCTTTGCTTATTTTCTTGCTTTTTTTTGTGCAGCTGTGAGTGATTATTTTAAGCAGAAAGTCTTGTTCTAATTCTAAGAGTTGGATGCTGGGTCATCCTGTGTCTATTCATTGCACAAGTGTTCCATAAGATACACACCTATGTTGATTGACCTCTGTTCCAATCTGATCCAGTCTTGAAGCCAAATGATTGGATTAGTACCAATGTGCAGCGTGGGCTTGGGTACCCTATTGATCCTCCATGGTGACAGTCAGGGCCTCATCAACTTGAGAAAGAAGGGCTCCCGCTCAGTCTGTCTGTTAGGGTAAGTAATGATGGGGTTGTTGATGGTGCATTCGATCCTCAGCTTCTGCTGAGTCACAGTGAACTTTCTTCCTTTGCCTATATTAATGTCTCAAATGTCTGTAAAATCTTTCTTCCTATACGAGGTTGCCTATGATCCCAGCTATTGCAATTTTTGGGGTGCTTTAAGTGTAAACGGCACCCCTGATTTCAAAGATACAGTATGTGAAAAAGGAATGTAAGGTGTCTCATAAATAATTTTCAGCCCGGCACTGCTGGCTCACGCCTGTAATTCTAGTTACTCAGGAAGCTGAGATCTGAGAATTGTGGTTCAAAACCAGTCCAGGCAGGAAAGTTCATGAGACTCATCTCCAATGAATCACCAGAAAACTTGGAAAATGGAGTTGTAGCTCATTGTCAGAGCACTAGCCTTGAGCAAAAAAGCTCAGAGTCAGTGCCCAGGCCTTGAATTCAAGCCCCATGACTGACAAAAAAAGAAAAAAAAGAAAAGGAAAACAATTTTCAGTATGGCTTAAATGTTGAATTACATTTTATGTAATTTGGGTTAAGTATTTATGTCATTTGTGGTTCAATTAGCTCTGGGTTCTAATTTGCGTTGTGTATCTGTATATTTGGTTTCCCTTTACTTATACTGTTGAAATTGATCTGTTTTACTGGATTTTTCTTTTCTTTCTTTTTACAGTTCTTAGTTTGTTTGGATATACATTTGTGTTTTAATTTTTGTAATTTCTTGTCTTTTTTAACACTTTAAAAATTGTTATAAAGGTGATGTACAGAAGGGTTATAGCTGCATAAATAAGGTAAAAAGTACATTTCTTTTTGGACAGAGTAACCCCTTAGAGA